TTATTCCTTTAAAAGATATATTATTTTTTTAATGCCCGTTCTGTAGCGATATTGTTAGTTTTATTTATAATTTTAAATTTAGATGGCTTTCATGTTTGGTGGAGAACATGTTTAATAAAGGGGTTTATTTTTGGTTTTTGCTTATTTTTAACAATTTAAAACTTCTCAGAACTAGTAATATTTTCTATAAGAAAGAGATACAAAATTATGATGTTCTTTCATTTTTAATTGCAATTAAATTCATGAATTTCGAACACTCCGTCATTTATTACACTTGCAAACTTTTTGAAATCACAATTTAAATACGCACAAATAATATTTATGAAATATTTTTGACAGTTCTGACATTTCTCTACCAAACATGAATTGACTTAGTCAAAGCCATCTAAATTTTAAATTATAAATAAAACTAACAATATCGCTTCTTAACTGCATTAAAAAAATTATTATATCTTTTACATGGATAAAAATAACAAAACAAGACTAACTAGACTGAAAAGATGAAGGTGGGGACTACATTTCCTGAAAGTTTCAGATTTTTATTTTTTCCTCAACATGATGATTTCTGAGGGCAAAATTGGCAAATTTTGAAAATTATCAAGTTTCAATAATTTTTTTGATAAAGAAAATGATAGTCTAGAAACTTAAAATAATAGTTACGTTTTCTATTGTATAAGTACCTACTTGATACCTGAAAAAAAATAACTTTCTAAATTTAGTAGAATAGGCACAGGAGCCAGACAAAAATCACAAAAATTGGCAAATTATTACAAATCTTTAGTGGTTTACGATTCTTTTATGAGATAAACTAATTAGATAATAATAATTAATATTGAAAACATACTTACTAGGCAGTAAAATAAAATTACAATCATTTCAATAATTGCCACAGAAAAAAAGTTTTAGCCTCTTATAAGAGAGTAAGAAAATGACACAATTTCAGGTTTCTAAAGGGTGCCGATTAAAAATAAAGCAACTAAAAATTAAAACGGCAACGGTTTTTCATATATGATACCTAAAAGATCAACCTCAAATTTTTTCATTAAAATAAAAAATCATGCAGCGCACTTTTAAATTCATTTTTGGTGTTTTCATTTGGATTGACTCGTATTATTTTTTCTAAAGGAAACCACACACGAAGTTGTATAGGTACGCGATTTTTTGGCAGATAAAACTTGAAGTTACAGGGGTTTATCAAGTGTACAACAAAATATTACTTTATGATATTTAGTACTCAGTTTAAGTTTTGCTATTCTCTATACAGGGTGTCATTTAATAAGTTGTCATTCCTTAAGGGTTCACGCCAAAGTATGACAACTTATTACATGACACCCTGTAGATATACTATTGTGGATTGAAGTAAATTTTGTCGTACATTATTTTTTTGGTTCCTTTTTAATTTGTTTTGTGTCATTTGCTTATATTTATAGCATAACTATACAATTTTAAAATTAAAGAAGTTATGCTATAAAAATATTACAATATATTTGTAGTTTAATTACATAGTTGTATATAAAGTTAAATAAAGTAAACTTTACAGGATGTCCCGTAAATGGTGCACTAACGGTATGGCATACCAAAGTAAGGGGGTTATTTTTAAGTATAAAAATTACATTTTTTTTTCGGATGGGTAGTTTTTCAGCTGTGTAATACGTAACGTCTAAAAACTGTTGTTATGGAAACAAAATGTACAGTTACGGAAAATAGTAATGGCCATTTGAATTCTCAAATGTAACTGTTTGGAATCATTCTGAAATAGTCAATATCTGCCTCTTAAGGATTTATTTAAAAATATGTCTATATTTAGAATTTACTACCTGCTCGTATTGAATTAATTATTTTGGGTGGATTACATATTTAACCGTATTTCTATTTTTTGAAATATTTTTTTATAGTTTTATAAAATTTATATATTTTATCTATGAAAAACTTTTAAAAAGAACTTTTTAGGCTAAAAATAATATTATCAAGTTGTAGTTTTTTAAAACTTACTTTACATTTTTGAGAACTAGCAATGATTCAATACACTATTCTACATCATAGGAATAAAAAACACATTTTATTACTTGTACGTTTATGTGTTAAAATTAATAAAATATATTTAGAATTTTTGTATTTGGTATATTTTAAATTAAATATACCAGGATTTATCAAAAACCCTTTGATATAATTATAATAAAAAAGTAAACATACCTATAAATCATAATATGTTATATATTATAAACATACATAGGTTTGTATAAAACTATAAAATATATACATATTTACTCATAATTATTTATGTATCAAAATTAAAGAAATATATTTAGAATTTTTATATTTAGTAAATTTTTAAATTAAATATACTAGGATTTATCAAAAACCTTTTGGTACTATTACTATAAGTTTAATTTTATTTCAATGTTTTTTTCATGCAAAAAACTCGACAGAATAAATTTTTGTAGTTATTATTGTGCATTTTTCTACTTAAAATTTTTCAATAAAATTTAGTAAAGGGTCGTTTTGAGAGGTGGTGAATCCAGTGCCGTGCTTAGATTTTGTTTAAAAAATCGCCAATATGAATTCTTAAAAATTTACTCTTAAAAACTGACATAGTAGGCCTTGTATTTTGTACAATAATGACATTTTTTCTTCAAAAATACAGTTTATCAAGATCTACACTTTAAAACAAATGTAGTTTATTAAATAAATTATAGAACATATATTATATTTAAATTATTTTAAAATCAATTTTATTCCTTAAATATTATATATTATATTATATTTTTACCAAAACTCGAATGTCTCTGAACAATTACAAGGGAGCATTCAAATGGACTATTTTCCGTAACTGTACAAAGCATCTACAGCGACAAGAGATATTTACATAGGTGGTTAAATTAGGAAAAAGTTGCACATTTTCATGCCGATCAATGATCTAAAAACAAATTTGACTTTTCGCTTTTAGTTTTAGAGATATCGTAAAGAACGAGAATTTGTAATTTTTATTTTACTTTTTTATTTAAAAAATCGGTTGAAGGTAGCCTTTTCTAATTCCAAATTTTTAAGGTAAATTTAATTTAAGGTAATTAAACTGCCGAGATAAATGGTTGACAGATGTGTTATTTAATGTTAATTAAACTTTAAATTATTATGACTTTGTTATTATTTATTATTTTTCTAACTTGTTTAAAACATTGATTTCCATCCTTTTATATGAATAGAACATTAAAATAAGAAATATAAAAATGTTTTACTCAAAAACTACTGTTTGGAATTTAATTTATACTTAAATAGAGCGTGGTATACCGTTTGTGCGTTATTTACTGGTTATTCGTTATTCAGATTTGCGCCTACTAGAAAGTCAAATTATTAAATTTAAAAGTACCATAACGCTTATTTTAAAAAATAATATAAATAAATAGGAATTTGTGAACAAGGTTAATTGCATATATTTTTTTTATTCTACAGGGTGTTTAAAAAAGGCGCACTAACGCCATACTAGGCTGTGGGTATTTTAAGAACAAAAACATTAAAACAATGTTCCCACTAGCTGTTTTCGACCTAGCAGTGTTACTTAATACGTGAAAAAAATGTATAAAGCGTTTTAAGAAATTTAAAATTTAGTTTGGGTAAAAAAATCAAACATCATTATTTTAAAACCTTACTGGAAAATTCTCAATCCTTCAACACAAAAAAATATTAAAAAAAAAGAGAATATGAAATTTAATTTTTAAACCCTTTAAATCAAAACTACATATTTGTCGGAAGTTTTTTATATTTTTTATTTTATACTTAAAATAACCTCCCTGCAGCGTTAGTGCGCCCTTTTGGGAACACCCAGTATATAAACTATTACATATTTACATAGTATATTTTATTAGGACTGGAAAATAGTCTTTTTCTGCAGATTCATTAAAAAAAAGTAGGTTTAGTTAGAGGTGGCAAGGATATATCGATTTTTTATATCGATATAAAATGATCGTTACATATTTTTTTAAATATATCGGTATAAAATTTCTTAATTAATTTTTTTATTTAATGTATATCTTGCATTTTTTTGGAATTTAAGCATTTTTTAAAGGTTTTGCGCCCATTGAAAATTTCAATAAAAATAAACATTTTCTGATAATATTAACATGTAATAATATATAATATTAATATTAAAATATTTTAATTATTAATTATAATAAATTATTTTTTGTTGGGTAACTAAATGTATTAATTTTTTTTAATGCCTAACAAAGCTTTTACATCAAAAATGCCATCCCTAGGTATAATATGATATATTATGTGTCAATAGACAATCAATTAGTTATAAATCCCAAGTTTGAGAAAAAAAATTAATTTCAAATTTAATATTTTTTGTATAAATTTTCTTGTTAACTTATTTATGCTAAAATTAAAATTGCCTGTGTATGAAAATTTATTTTTTTAAGCAAAATCGCTTTATTTGTTATACTTGAATCATTGTATTTTCTATTGTTAAAAGCTAAATTTAAAAAAATATTCTTTATAATACTTTCAATGATCAATGAACGTGTTTTTTTATATAATCTACTTGTATAAAAATAAATTTAATTTTTGTATGAATGTAATAAGAGAATGATTGCATGTAAAAATTGTTTTGGTTCTGAAAAAAACAATTTATTTTACCAATGTTTGTTTTTGGTAAAGAAAATAAATCCCAAATATTTTTCATCATATTTTCCATTCTTTTTTAATTTGTACTTAAAGGCTTTCATTTTGTGAATTTTTCCTGTTAAACTATTCTAGGATTGATTATATATATTTTACCAATAACTTTTCCATTTTTCCCAACGATTGTCCTATACCATATCTAAAGTTTTGAAAATGTTTTTTAAGTTATTTCAATACATTTTTGTATAAAAATGATACTTCCTGTATTTTTTAGATTAAGCTTACCATGTAATTCCAAACAATTACAACGTGTTTTTTTTATGAAACTCGACACTTAAAATGTTTTTCTTCCAAATGCTGATTTAGAAATATTTTTACAGCGTTATTTGCAGTACCTAAAAACTACAAGTTAGTCGCTGCGCCTTTATTTGAACTATATGACAATTCGCAGGGATACGGACCGATAATTTCTTCCTTGCCACAGGCTCTGTGCAGGTAAAAAGAGCTTAAGTCAAAAATAATGTTTTGTTGTGAAAAAATTATTTTTTATTTTAGATTCCAGTTCATCTATATGTAGATGCGATCTCAGATAAGATAAATAGGTTCTTTTTAAAAAAAGTGAGTTTTCTATGAATTTAATATTTTAATATTTCTATGGAATACAGATTGTAATAATACTATTAATAATTTGTTTTGTTTTAGGTATTGGAAACTGTTTATGTTGAAAACATATTGATTTAGTACAATGTACTTTAATGGATTACTTAAGTTAATAATACAATAAATTCTTAAAGAGCATTTGAATAACCCCTATTTTTTCTTACGTAAAATTGACCAACTGTACCTATATTTTTATATTTAATTTCAAAAGTCAAAATTTGTTTATTTGCTCTTTCTTAATCAGCTTTGATTTCACATTGTGAATGCGTGTTTATAACTGTTTTTTTGTATGAAATGTGGAGTAGTTTAAATAATATAAGTTAAAACTAGTAACAATTTATTGAAAACTTATTGTAAATCTGCAATAAATCTTTTGATGTTATTTTTAATTACAGGAAAATTGTAAATTATTTTAATTTGTGTTTTATTTTAAATATTTTTCACCTATCTACTTTTGTCACAAGTCAGATGAGCATAGCTGACAACATAAAAATAATTAATGTAAATAAATTTTTTTAATCGAAATTTGACATCGTCAAAAATTAAGGGTTTACTTGGCGAATTTTAGAGACGGTAAATTTATAATTGGCCACATACAGTTCATTTTTTTATCTTGACTCGTGTTTTTTTGTTAGGTTGGTGGCTTATACCAGTTTGACTTGGTATTTTTAGTATTTAAAAATGGTACTTCTGTTAAAGAATTTAATTAAATACTTTGACCATGGAGCCTACACAAGGAGTCCGAACTGCATGTAAACAAGAATCTTCCTAAGGAAAGTAGGCGCTGGTGTCCCGTTTATTCTGAAACAATTGACTAATTTGTACCGAAACGCTACCAAAAGAGCACACGTCAGGACACATCAACAATCAGCGCGCTGGTGATGAAAAAAAAAATTGTGCAATTTAGAGGGCAGGTTTTGTCAATTTTCCCTATTAAGTTCGGGCTCCTTGTGTAGGCTCCATGACTTTGACACTGTCAAATTGACAATAATATTTATTATTGATAATTTACTTGTCAATTATAAATAAAAAGATAATTATGCCAAAAATAATAGCAACTAATTCGAATATATACCCAGTAAGCACAAGATAGACGGGCCGCTTAAGGACCGAATACGTTTGGCCGAATTGGCCGCGTTCGGGCCGCTACACGGTACAAAGCCGGCATGTACACCGGGCATGTCCGCCTGGCCGCCTGGACGTCTTTGAGAGCTCGGCCGCCTGGTCGGCTGCGAGGGCTCGGCCGAGTGTCGGCCACCACCGTGTGGCCGGGTGACGGCCATCACCGTGTGGCCGGGTGACGGCCATAACTGTCTGGCCGAATGCCGGGCATGTACGCCCGGCCGAATGTCGGTTAATAGACGGCCACACGAAGCTGCAATAGATAAAATAATAAAAAAAATCAAAATTATAAATAAAATGTTTATTCTTAAATAAAATTTCTACAAATAAATATAACAATATTCTAAAACATAAAATAAATATCATAAATAAATAAATCAGTTCAAAAAGTTTAAATTTACTATAGGGCGATTCCATAATTACTGACGGGACAAGCAAACACAAAACAAAATGTTTTATGAAAATTTGTGAAGATGTGCTGTTCCTATAATAATAACTTTATTATGGTTATTATTACTAATTTTTATTGCTGAGGAATGTCATAAAATTATTATTATAGGAACAACACATCTTTAAAAATTTTCATAAAACATTTTGTTTTGTTTTTGCTTGTCCCGTCAGTAATCATGGAATCGCCCTACATCAGTATAAGAACCAGAACATAGAAACAATAGAGTTTATACATAGTATACACGGAGAAAAATATATATTAAAATTTGTTATAAGATTTAGCTGTCACTATATTTACCGTAAAATATAATAAATATTATTATATTTCTCATATCATTTATGACAGCTAAATCTTATAATAAATTTTAATATATATTTTTCTCCGTGTAGTCATATTGAAAAATCGTCATGTTTATTTCTCATTGCCTTTCCTTCTGCCGGTTCGTCCACCTGCTCGATCGGGAGCATTTTTTAACCATATTTTAATGGCCCCATTTATTTCCGAATTTGTGGCACTGGAACAATTTAAATTTCGACGTATTGACCCTAAAAATAAAAACTTAAAAAAATGGTTATAAAAGTTTTAATAAACCTTACCATATAAAAGCTTTAAAACATAATCCAATTGCTGAAAGGAGCCTTTTTCGTTTGCCCCCACCCAGTTGACTTTAAGTGCCAATTCATGTTTTATAATGAACGACAGCATTTTTTTTGTTACATCATTTAAATCTCTTCCTCCCAGCAATGATAGCGAAGATTGCTTAAAAAATAAATTATTTTCAGTTTCTAAATTTCTATTTTCAATTTTTAAATTTCTAATTTTATCAGGCTTCTTTCGTTAATGAAATTGAATAGGTACACAAAGGCTTAATAATCGACGACAAATTACACTGGGCAAACCACATAGAACTTATCAAAAAAAAGTTGTACCTATATGGTAGGTGCACTTTATAGATGTGAAAACTATCTAAATTGTTCATCACTATATCAAATCTATAATGCATATTTTCTGTCGGTAATAAGCTATTTAATCCAAATTTGGGGGACATGTGGGGTCACACAATTATATAAAGCTCAAAAACACCATTCATGATTATAATACAAGAAATAAAGAAAATTTTGCAATAGACAATATGAGAACAAATGTGGCCCTAAACAACCCTATAATCAAATGTATAATGTCTAATACTTAGATTCATGGTAGGTTACTTACTGTTCATCCATGATAAAAACGACACATACAAAACCAAAGTCAACGTACTTTAAAACACTTTAACAACAATGTAGGCACAGAGTGAATGTAGGCGACCTGCCAACCATAAAACAATGTTTAACCATATAACAATGTATAACAATAACTTATGTTCTGTGCGACCTGACAACCATAAACAAAAACACCACAGATTATAAAAGAAAAACACTTTCAACGCAATTATAACAAACACACGCAATGGCGGCAATGCACTTGTCGACGATCGGACAACAGAACGGACTGAGCATGGTTGATAGCTATTGGCCAACGCGATAACCCAGCAAGAGCGGCTAATTTAAATCTCGCCCAAATCCAATTTACAATATTAAATCGTGATGCTGGCCAGGTTCTGGACGGCTTCGGCTAGAATATGGCCATTCGCTAACCGGGCTTACATACACGGTCCGTACGCGGATCGGTTGGGGGCAAGCCGAACCGCATATGCAACGGCATTGCCACAGTAAACTGTGGCATTGCCGCTATCTAACCGAACAGGGTTAGACGATGGCCACACGGTAACCGGGCTAACATAATGAGGACCGTAAGCGGGCCGCCTGGGGCAAGCCGAACAGCCGGCCTGCCGCTTGTGCCGAGCGGAGGCCGACAGTTTGCCGAATGCCTTGTGCTTACTGGGTACATAAAAGCCTTTTGAGGGCATTTTAGCAATGGAAGAAAAAGTACATCGCCTTATGGACATTTTTGGAGTAAAAAAGTAACGAATTTGCTTTTATAAATATTACATCACACATTATTTTCACATTATTCACCATTGGACAACATTTACGTTCACAAAAAATTTTAATTTCTTTTATATAAATTCTTTTCAAAGCGAAGATTATTATCCGCTAGGAATACTTTCTCTTCTGGGCCATAAAGCAACCTATATTTAACCACTTTTTTATATGATTTTACTCATCCAAGCACCACCAAAGCCAAATTAATTGCATTTTTAACTACGAATTTCGACAACTCAACTTGACAACTCCACAATGTAACCTACAATAATTTATACATAACCACAATTAGATTTATAACTAGCTTAGTTTGTTTTAATCAATGCGACCAACATGACAACTGTATTTACCAACCAAAACCCTAAATTTGCAACGTTGCCGCAGTCCAGAAAAAAAAATGAACTTTATGACCGCCTTTAAACTCTGTGCAGTGTTGCAGTGATTTTTAGTATTTTTAGCATGAGGTAGAACGGACCTTGTTGTGTGGATTGTGGGTTTATTTAAATCTAACAATTAAATGACAATTTTAAAGTAAATCCTGATTTATAGATTGCCATCCTTCCTCCCGTGAAAGATGAACAATACGAAAATCGTAGTGCCATTTATTCCCCTACTAGAATCTATAAACAGCACAACGGTTTTTGTATTGTTTATCTTTTACAGGAGGAAGGAAGGCAATCTATATAAATCAAGCTTAAAATTGAGGCGGAATTCGAATAAATCAAAAACAAACCTGTGCAACTATCGCCATCTATAGTGTGTTGTAAGAAAATCAATGACATTACTAATGTCACATTAGAGATTCCTACTATTAAAAGATTAACCAGTGTTGCCAGATCTCCTGTTTTAACAGGAGATCTCCTGTTTTCACTCTCGAACTCCTGTTCTACTGTTTTCACTATGAGATCTACTGTTTTTAACCTCAGTGTCTATTTTTCTGCTTTTCTACGAACATACCTTGTGGTTTGGCTAATATTTCAAATTTCAGCGTCGACGGTCCGTATGAACGGTGAATAGCATTGATTTAAATTTGCGCGGTTTTTCGTTCGTTTTGGTTCGGTTCGTTCGACTTCCTTTGAATTACGATCCCTAACCGTTCTTTACGCGTGCGCAGTTTGCGTAGTATTTATCAAAGAACACCAAAGAAGCAAAAGTTCCTGGTTAAAAGTTGGCAACACAATAATCGCCCGAAAGTCTGAGATGCGCTTGAACAGGTCACAAGGCTACCAACTTACACAACATAATGTTACGTAAGAGTTTCATGTCTATTATGTTTTAGATAAAAATGCATAGATGGCGCTGATTATTTTTTCTTTCTTTCTTTAGGACATCCATTGGACGTCCCCGGGATATTTGTGTTATATGGGTTTGTGCGTGTACTTGTGTTCCTCTATAAAAAAATATATTTTTTTTAAATCTCCTGTTGAAAAAAGTGATCTCCTGTTTTTTTGGCTACTTTCCTACTGTTGACAAGAATTTCCATCTGGCAACACTGAGATTAACATACATAACCTATATTTTTACCGTAAATAAATTTGTATTAATTTTAAATTTTTAACATGGCTTTAAACGATAATTGTCAGATAATGAAAGAGGTAAATAACTTTACTTAATTTTAACAATATAAAAAAGTGAAAATTTAAGATAGCAAAAACTGAAGAAGCGCTAAAATCGACATACGCCCGTGTAGATTTATTAGAAAAGCAATTATATGATAAAGATTTACCAGAAAGTAAGCAAAAGGAAATAAAAACTGAACTGGACGAAGTAAGAAAGTTATTGGCCACAAATGAAGAACAATTGGCACATCTACGAACACATAACAGAAAGTCGTTTGTGTTTGTGGCTTCCATTATGTTTATATTTTTTACGTTTTATGTTATGTATGTGCTTATGTTTGGAACTGATAATGTATAGAGAACAGTTTTGATGGTTTTATCCTTGGTATTTTGTATCAGTATTAACGTTGTTTTCCAAAAACAATTGTATTAATAAACTGCCACTTTTATTAAATACATTTTAAGAGTTTTTTTATTCAGATTAAGTAAAATAATATATTTTGTAGATTAATAAACACAAAAGAACACACGTTTTATTGTTTTTCTTTTTCAATTTCGTCCCGGTAAACATACAAATATGGATGTTTTTCCACTTTTACAATATCGTTTTCTAGCTGTTTAAGATCATTTTCCAATCTGACTTTTTTATTGATCTTTGGAATGGTGTCGGTTAGAATCGGAAGTCCCTGATAAGCTATCTGAAGTTCTTCCCAATTTTGTTTAAGGCCCTAAAAATCATTAAGTCATAATTTCTAATTATATTTGGACAAAAAACAACTTTACCTCAAGAAGGGCTTCTCTTTCGTCGCTTGTAATGTATCGACATAGCGGCTGTTTAAACGAGACTTCTTCTGCAGCTTTAAGCCTCTTTTCTTCAGCTTCTTCTTTAAGCTTCACCAAATAGTTGGGAACGGCACCGTATTCCTCTCCTTTAACAAAATACGTCAAAGGTTTCGTCGCTCCAGAACTGTGTACGACAACCCTGTGTATTGGTTCTTTCGCCTTCATTTCCTTAACTGTTTTTATATTTTTCGTAATAAAATTCGTTTTTGGGGTGTCATTATTTTTTTTAACATCGACTGGCGGAATCGGCGGCCTTTTTGAGCTCAGTAAACATCTAGGCGTTTTAACAATTTCCCTGCACTTGCTATTCGCTTGTTTTCCAGTTCCTTTCTTCAAAAAATTCTCTGGATCCGGCGGGATCTCCTCCGACACTCCCATAGTAGCGTGCGCCCTTTTTTCGCATCGCAAATTAAAGTTAAATTTTTCCCTTCTTCTCGCAATATCGAGCTGCAAATTTTTGTCGCCATCCCCCAGGATTTCTTCCGCTTTTTTAGCGCGTTCCTGCTGCTTGCGCGTTATGTCGTAAATACATTCGTTGTGATTTGAAATGATAACCAAAGACATTGTAAAAAGTTCCTACTTGTCAAAATGATTATCGAGCAAATAAAACATAGCAAGTTGCTATTAGCAACCGTATGATAGCAATCTGCCATTTGTCTGTAGTATTTCAAATTTCCCGCCTTATAAATTAACATTAAAAACTTAATTTAATATTCATTTTTGCTGTATTTGGCACTTTATAGGTGTTGTAAGGCTGTTTTACTTCATATATAGTGGTATACGATTTTTACCATAGAAATAATACTCCTAGAAGGCTGTATACGATTTTTACCATAGAAATAATACTCTACTAATAGTATTATTTCTATGATTTTTACAGTGGAAATACGATGATTTATGGTTTCCTGTACGCTTGTTTTTTCGCAAGGTGGCAACACTGGATGGCGCTGACAGTTTCGTTGCTGCCAACCTAAATTATTTAAATTTAACTGTCACACATAGAAACCGTTAAATTGTTTCCAAGATCATTTGTTGTAGATATTTGTTATATTTTAGAATTCATAACGTAAGTATTTTACTTATAATAATGTTATATTCTACTCTGCGTCTTAAAATTAAAGGATATTTATAAAATCGTCACCCTATAACAAGGTTGTATGTTAAAAAAAAACGAAAAATTTTCGTCTATGGTGACGAAATGTTTGCAATTTTATGTTTAATATAGCGTCACCCTAATATAACAAGGTTGTATGTTAAAAAAAAACGAAAAATTTAAGTCTTTGTTTCTACAGGATTATACGTGGCCTACGCTTCACATACCACTTAAAAATAATTCTATTGAATGTATATTATATGTATCCATATATATAGAGTTATTTTCAAGTTGTATGTCAAGGGTGGATTGCATGAAATCTTGTAGAAGCATAAACTCAAATTTTTCGGTTTTTTAACATACAACCTTGTTATATTAGGGTGACGATAGGTAATTGTTTTAGTATGGATACAGCCAGAGAGGCCTTGTATCTGAATACAGCAGCAGAGACCTTACAATCAATAAAAGACAACTGGCCGAAATTCCCAGTGAAAAAAGAAAACATCTTGAAGCCCAACTCTGCATTTGTAACAAAATTTTACAATGAGTTTCTTAGGGAATTGTACCGTTACATTCAAGTATTCACTGACGAGGAGGTTTTATTTAATGACCCCCCAGGGTTGATGGAGTTCAGTGAGGAAATAATTACTTACAACCGTATGTTGCAAGTGTTCTCTGTATACCTTATTAAACAAACATCGTATAATTTTTTATTGTCCGACATACTGAAACCTCAACCCAAAAGGACAAGGGTGTTCATAACGCTTTGCATGCAAATTTTGATGACCATCAATGAGATAATAAAGAGCGACAACAACATTTATAAGGAGGAGATGAGCAAGAAAGATTCGTTTCATGATGTTTCCAGGCTTAAAGCAGAAGTGCTTGAAAAATTAAATTGGGCTCAAGAAAAACTGGAGGAGTCAGAGGAAAATTTATATAATTTGCGAAAAGAGGGGGTGGAGGTTAATAAAGAGTACCTTGAAGTGCTTGAGTATGAAAAAACAAGAAATAAGTTGTATAAAGACAAACAAAAGGAGATTGATAGTTTGATATCAGAGTCAAATATGCTAAAATATGATCTTGATGCTGTTAAAAAGGAAAATGTTGAATTGGAGGAGCAAGTTGTCTCCCAATCAGAATATGAAAAAGACTTGGAAGTTTTGGAAAATTTAGAAAAAGAAATTGAAGGTATGACGGCTTTACAACAAACTCTTTCGCATGGGTTGGAAGCTAAAAACAAAACACTTTTACACAACAATAAATGCATAAATGTACTGGAAACTTTGGTTTTTGATACGAAGTGTGAACAAATTATGAGGGAAGATGAGGGGAAGCTCCAAAAATTACAGTTTGAAATCCCCAAATTAAACACTGAATTATCAGACCTGACATCAACCACGGAAAAGTTAAAAATGGAGGAAGACTTACTAAATCAAAAAGTCGAATTTATTGAAAAGGAAAGGATCAACCAACTGATAATAAAACAAAAAGAGTGTAAAGACCTACAAATGGAATACACACAGTTAAATCAACACAATAAACAACTGGAAGAAAATAAAGCCATTGAAATTAAACAGTTGGAAAAAGAGTTGAAAAGAAAAGAAGAAAGCTTTGAGCATCTTAAAAATAGTGTCAAGGAAAAAAAAACCAAATTAATTGAACTAGAAAAACAAGTTGTCCAAAATTTTACTGTTACAATGGAACAATTGTTAACAAAATCAAAGGACATTAAAAAAATACAATTTTAATTTTTAAAACCAATTTATTGGCTTTAATTCATTCAGTCATATGGCATGCTGTTTTAACATTTATAAAATAATTTTTTAATTAAGTATAATTTATTTGGGTGGCATTTTGTAAACTTAAATAAATATTTTATAAAATTATTGAGATTAATTTGGTAAAGTTAAATTTTTTAGTATTTAAAAATAGTATTAATCCATTTAAAATAAAAACACATATAAAACATTTTCTATAGAGTATACCAAAACAGTTTAAAAAGTTAAATTTTTGTAAACTCAAAACTATTGAAAATCAAAAAATATTTTAAATATATATAAAATGCAACTGCAAAAGTTTAAGTTGAAAAATATTGATTTTTAAAAAATGAAATTTTAATATTTTATTCTTCAAAATTATTGGTTTGAATTTGTAAAGAGTCATTTAAATGATAGTCAATAAATTTTCAATACAAAAATTTGAACATTACATTTAAATGTTAGTTTTAAATTTTAAAGTGGTAATTTTTGCATTAAAATTTTATCAACTATCATTTAAATGACTCTTTACAAATTTAAACCAATAACTTTTATTTTTAACAATTTTAAATTGATACATTTTTAAGACAAAATTTATAACTTTACATTTAAATGTAAGTCGATAATTTTTAAATTATAATGTGTAAACGTAGCTTTAGTAGAAGGCACAAGAGTCTGGGATCGGAGCCACGCTGCAGCCAGTTTGATCCGCAGTGTTGCCAAATCGTGCTTGCTCCATAAATATTTGACGCGTTTTACAAATTATGGTAATGAAATGTTTCTTTATTACATAAATTTAATATTAGAACAACAACATTTTTAGTTCCTATTGTACTAAGTTAATTCGACAATTAAAAAACATTTTTTCTCATTTTTAAGAGAAAAAAATTTAAAATGTAGTGCCCAATATTACGTGGATGCATCATACAAATTCCCAGTGCCATTTATAGATTCCCGTACGGGATTGTATTGTATTGTATTGTATTGTTTATCTTCTACGGGAGGAAGGAAGGAAGGCAATCTATAAATCAGGCTTAACACTTAACCTCGCCTCAAAAACCGGAAAGCGGGAATTTGTATTTGTATATGGTTGCATCCAAAGATAATGGGGTGTATTATCTTTGGTTGCATCCACGCAATATTGTGGCACTATATTTTAAAAAATTTTCTCTTAAAAATTAGAAAAAATGTTTTTTAATTGTCAAATTAACTTAGTACAATAGGCACTAAAAATGTTGTTCTATTATTAAATTTATGTAATAAAGAAACATTTCATTACCATAATTTGTAAAACGCGTCAAATATTTATAGAGCAAGCACGATTTGGCAACACTGCGGATCAAACTGGCTGCATCGTAGCTCCGATCCCAGACTCTTGTGCCTTCTACTAAAGCTACGTTTACACTTTGTAATTTAAAAATTATTATTATTATTACATTTAAATGTAAAGTTATAAAATTTGTCTTAAAAATATATCACTTTAAAATTGTTAAAAATAAAAAAAATTGGTTTAAATTTGTAAAATCATTTAAATGATTGTCGATAAATTTTTAATCAAAAAATTACTACCTACTTTAAAATTTAAAACTTACAATTAAATGTAATGTGAGAATTTTTGTATTAAAAATTTATCAACTATCATTAAAATGACTCTTTAAAAATTTAAACCAATAATTTTGTAGAATAAAATATTATAACCAAAACTTTTAAAAATCAATATTTTTAAACATAAATTTTTACTGTTGCATTTTATATTTAAAATATTTTGTTGACTATCAATTGTTTTGAGTTTAAAAAAATTTAACTTAATAAATTTCTGTTAAAACATAATTTAAGTGCTAAACTTTAATCTTTAAACTTTTATCTAATAAATGCTAAAACGGCGTGCCATAGAGTCATGAAAAGTATACATCTTTAGAAGTAAAAACTCTTTCTTAAAAAATAATTTTAATGAAAACAGTCCCTATTTATTTCAAATAAAAATCTATTAATTTTATGTTTTTTATTAAATTTAAATTGTTACATTTTATGAGGTGTTTTATTTAGAAAATAATTCCTAATCATTGGAAACAGGCATGGATAACAAAAAAGCACAAAAAAAATAGTTTTTAACCTAAATAAAACAAAAAAAAGTAATTTCATTATCCAATACCTAAATTTCAAACCATACAAATACGACTTAATCTTAACCTTAAGCAAACTCAATTGTTTATCTACGGCCTCTACCTCTGCCACGCCCCCTTGGGCCACCCCTTCCGCGCCCCCTGCCCCTTCCTCTAGCAGCCCCTCGGGCAGACTCCTTCTTTTTGGCTTTAGCCTTTGGTGTGTCGTCGATTAAGAGCGTTTCCAACGGTAAACTGTCCGGCAAAATGTAGTAACGAATGTTGTTACCCCTCACTGTTAGAGTGTCGAGGGTCATGGGATTTCTGTTTTTTACTGTGACTTTAACCGCCTTCAAGTGCGTATTCATCGCCACATCCACGCCTGTGATCGTGCCGTGCACCTGGGTGCCGTTTTTTAGCTCCATCGTCACCGTTTCGTGGCTCAGTTTCATCAGAAACCTAAAAACATATTAAGTTAGGTTATGTTTGTTTTTTGTTTTGTAAAACATGTTTTAAAGGATCTATTGAGGGTTTATTGTACGTTTTTAAAATAAGCATTGTTTCTCACCTTACTAGCTTCATTTTTGTGCTTTATATTTGTGTTATTTTTATAAAATACCGGCAAAGCAAACGTATAAAACGCGTTTTAACAAAAACGACGCTAAGTGGCGCCATCTGGTCGAAAATTAAACAGGAAACTGTAAATTTTAGTCAATATTTATTTTATTTTAATTTATTATTATTATTATTTTAATTAAAATAGTAGGTAAATTCTTTATTTAAAAATAATATTATTTCGAACCCATAGATAATAGTATTATCTTTGTTCGAACCCGCTAAAGAATTTTATCGTTAAATAAAGAAATTTATCAATAAAAAATTGTATAAAAATTACCTATTATACCGTATAATTTATACGAGAGATAATGCAAGCTATTATTCACGAGGATGAGGTTTTTCTCTCAAGTCGAGACGAGAAACCTAAATCCTCCGAGTGAATAATGCCCAAAATCTCGAGTGTAAAACAAAACTTTATCTACTTCAATAAGTAGATATATTTGGAAATCATTTAATTACCTATAGGTAATTAAATGATTTCCAAAAATAAATAAATAAAATCTGACATCTATCAAATGGTTAACCTCACTTTTTACCAATTTTAAATGTTATTATAGGTAGTCGCCTTCTCCCAATTCAAAAGCCGATTGGTTCAAAATTTGAACTTCAAATCACAGTGAATATTGAATTCGGTCAATCACAGATGCCTAAAAACGTACATAATGAGTTTATGATTCCCGTCGTTAGGCAGGAAATTTATAATGTTTATCATTATTTACGGAAAACCCAAAATTATGCAATATGAGTGGATAAATAAATTTATAAATCAAGTTAAAAATGAATCTGTATTTTTATCTAGAGTATGTTTAAAATAAAAAAATAGTTATTAATCGAATAAAATGTGATAAATGGCCGAATTTCAAGATGGAAATATTCTAGAAATTACGTTTAAATAAAGAAGGAGGCTGCGCAATAGTTTATTGTCTCCCGTGAAAGCAGTGTTGCCGTGTCTACTGTTGTTGCACTAGATCTATTGTTTTGGACCTTCAATCCTGTGTTTATTTTAAGTAATAAATTACCCACATAAAATGTGATAATTTATAAAACATATTTTTGGTTTTTAATCTATAAATATTTAGAGTTTTCTTGTTTTTTTTTATCGCCTGACCGTGAACTAATCTGACAACGGTGCTCGTGAAAGGCAGCTGTCATTAGTCATCATTATTTGTTGTTTTGATAGTGCGTGTTTATGTTGACTGGCGTAGTTTGTACGTTTCTAGTAGTGAAATTATCGAAAACGAGTTTATTAGCCCGAATTCTGGCCTCCCTTTGCCGATAATGCATATAGATTTTAGCTACGGTAAGCGTTTGAAAATGTTTTGGTCCTGTCAAAACCTTGACCTATTATTCATTTTTTATTTGGACTTTGACAACGTCAATAATTTGGGAATCTCTAGTTGGCTACGGAAAATTTAAATAGACCAATTTGATTAAAACAAACTAAACTAGTGAAAAATATGATTGTGGTTATGTTTTAAGTACCATAAATCTAGTATTACTCGTCTGTTTGTATAATGGTATACTAATCTATACACTAGTGCAGATTAAAAAAATGAGATTTAAATAATGCCATACTGTTGAGTGAATCGATGCTATAATATATTATAGTGCAAGGCTACAATACAAACCTGCCATATGTAAAACAAAACCAAATCTTTCGATAGAACCTTATGTTCTGTGGATAGAACTAAACTAGTATGTTTTTGCGGTTGAAGGCGTATTCATGCTCACTTAAAATAAGAAATAAGAATTATAACGGTATAAATACGAAAAATTACCAAATTTGGGGAATGGTTTGTTTCGTTATTTTACCTACATAATAACCTTTTTGATCTACTACCTGTTTGCTCTCTCTTTTAAAAACATTGACATTCTTAATTTATTTTAATTTATATTTTACAAAATGGTACTTATAGTAATAAAGGGCACCCTAGAGTAAAATTAAAAAATATAACTTAAATTGTCAAAACTAATAATATTTTGCATTAAAACTCAAACTCACATTATTTTATTGATAAAAATAGGCACGATACATCTTAAAAATGATATGCCCTCTAAATATTTTACAGCTTTAAGAAAAATTATAGCTTGGGTAAAATTCAACAAAACTTAAAACCTACAAAATTTTATAAAATCTTTTATTTTTTACTAACTAAAACCTTATTATATTTTGGAAAAATATTTATGAAAAAATATTATATAAATGTTTAGATAAGTAATGGATTCCATCTTAAACTCATTATGGCGACCCACAGTGTTTCAATTCTGAAAAATATCGGCAAAACCTCAAAAATTGACATTTTTTTTCAGGTAAATTTTGAGTTAGATGGGTAGTTAATACCTGTCTCCATTCTGTATTGAAAAAAAATTATATAAATTACGTGTATTTTGTCTTGTACATCAGTTTAAACTTGACGCTTTCAGTTGAAGGTACTTTACACGCGATCGCTGCGAAAAATTGTTTATTGTTTAAAAGTGAATAACTTGTGTTTGGTGAGTCCGATTGTTATGCGGTTTGATGAAGGGTGATCTTCAAGGTATCTAAAATTCAGATATTTATTTGTTTTTCGTAGATTTTGCTTGTACAACGGGTTATTGTAACCGACAAGATTGGTCTGTTAAAATCGCAAACTTTGAATCGAGCTTTTAGAACAATGGAGCTACAAAAATTGTAATGAATTGTAAGTTCAAGATTCGTTGAATAGCTTAGAGTTTTGTCTATCAAGCCATCAATAAATTAGCTGCCCCAACTTGACCCCGGCTCTTTAAAACTACATGTTCTTGGGCGCTCAGGCACGGTTGTTGTAAAAAAAACTCGCGATTTTAAGCCTATGTCGAGCGCGTATCTGTGTTTTTGCTTTACAAAATATAAGATTTTTTTTATTTCTGGGTTGCGTTCATGACGTTTACTCGATTCACTCGGATTTAACTCAAAACGTTTAATGCAACAGCGGTGTCTAGACTTTCACTTGCGTAAATCGTTCGTGACTACTAAGATATTTAACACCGATTTTACATATTTAACCCACCTCTTGTAGGTGCGTTAAAACAACTCCGCATGCGCATTGTACCTAGTGTGTTAATGTCAAATTTGAATTGTGGTTATTTGTGTTATTTTTTTAGCGAATTAAGATATCGTTGCTAAAATAATAAGTAAAAGAAATAATACAAATTTAAAATACTTAGTATAAAATCTGTTATATTTAAATTTTATAATAGTTATTTACGTGTCAAGCTTTGTAAATGAATCTTTACGGGCGAGTTGGAAGTTTGTGGGGTGAGCGACGCAGGAGCAAACCACATAATCCAGTGAGCCTAGTGAAGATTAATTGCAAAGCGTGACACGTACAAACTTTTATTTTTACCTTTGGATAACGATTTTCAAATTTAAAATTTCAATTAATGTGTCAAATATGTCATTTCATTTCATAAATTGCTTTTCTACAAGCCTGTAAAACTTTACAGGTCTTTTATACAAGCCCGTAAAATATTACAGGACTGTTCCCATAATGTATCGTTTACTTGGATACAAAAACAACAAAATTAACCTTTAAAATGTCATTTACTAAGAAGGTGGAAATAAATAAATTTTAAGAGTTCCTCGGGAGAAAACGATGGAAGATGTTTTCCATTGGCTTATAGCATCTTCCGATCGGTATATTTCTAGCTTCAGAAAATTGGTTCCGAAAAAGAGCAAATCTTTGTCCCGCGAAGCAATAAAACTGTTGCTATCTTCTGATGGTTTCCCATGCTCTGCTAATGATACAACGAGCGAATCCAGTGAAGGAAATTGTTTAATATATATGTAGGTATTAAATAATATCATATAAATGTAATTATATTAAACTAAATTAAGCTATTTTATAAAAAGATATTTTATTACAAAGAACCTCTTACGGGTTTTTAATTAATTTAATACAATATTTGATAAAAATGTCCGCCATTTGAGGTCCACCATTTTGAATTTTGGAATTCTGATTTTAGATTCATTATCAGCGAGCACAAAAACCCCTGTATGGTGATTTTTAATTAATTCCGTCAATTTTTTTACAAATATGTTCACCATTTTGGAACTACCATTTTGAATTTTGGAATTCTGATTCCGGATTCGTTATCAGCGACCCCAAAAACCCTGTATGGTGATTTTCAATTTATTCCGTCAATTTTTTGACAAATATGTCCGCCATTTTGGATCTACCATTTTGAATTTTGGAATTCTGATTCCAGATTCGTTATCAGCGACCCTAAAAACCTCCACATACGGATTTTTAGGAGAATCCGACTACTTTATATATTGCCGAAAATTACGAGAATTGAAACACTGTGCGACCTGAAAAAAAATTTTCCTTAAAGCTAATTTTTCCTTGTTTAGTCAATATTAATAGTATTTATTACCGGTAATAACCCTAAAAAATACCAGGCGAATAGGAATTATTTACGGTTATAAAGTGGTCTTAATATCGTAAAATTATGACTTAATTATGACCATTAAGTAAAAATTACAATTAAAAATAATAATTCACCATGATCCCTTACATAAAATACACACACTAACGTAACTGTATAAGCATTTAAGCGTTGAGTTTCTTAATCAATGATATAAAGAATAATCAATCGAAATCGACTAATAAACCAGTTTTTTAGTTTTTTCCTTGCAACGTAAAACACAAATAACGTACGCGATTGAACAAAATTTGTCCTGTTCCTCTCTTTTGTGAGAAAACTAAATATTTATTTAAAAGTGATTTACAGTTCGTATGCTTTAAACGTATTGTTGACAATTCTTAAATTCACGCAATGCTTTTGAAGTCCAACAGAGGGCGCGCGCGTTGCGAAAACCCGCGAATATAATTACATATCTTTGGGTTTAGTAACTCTTGTAATTGCCAACCGAATGCCCAAATTTTCGACAACGTCAAAGTCTTAGGAACGTCAAATGCATGATTTTGTTTATTTTTTAGGCAATCATGTCACAGGAAGACTTAAATTTAACAACGTGTTTGAAAAAATTAGAGATAGAAACTAACACCGCAAGCAAACCCGAACCGCCGACCGATACACCCATCAATCCCTTTATGAGGCGAAGAAGGTCGAAATCCTTGTCGAGCATAAATTTTGGCAAGTCCTGCGACTGTCAGAAAAAGTCTCAAGCAGTTAAACAGACGACGTCGTTCAAACGGTCCAGCAAAAAGATCCTCAGAGACCCGGTGCTCAAGTTCATCAAATGCACGCACAGCGAAAGCAAAAACAGGGCCAAGCAGAAGGAGAAGTTGTTCGGGCAATGCTCCAAGTTGGAGGAATGTAATTTCAAGACGATTTTAAATGGTTGCGAACAGTTGAGTTTAAACACCAGCTCGTCTTCGGACTCTAACGTATACACTTCGCCTAGTTTTTTAAACGCACGCTCGCAATCCAGCACAAACATCTGTAGAAGCGATTCTAACATCGGTAGCTGCTCGCACCAAGCGAGAATGAACCTGGCGCCCCCTTGTGACGTAACGATAGACGAATTAGCCAGTTATTTCGAGACTTTTGTACATATACCGAAAAAAATGAGCTCCATGGCGGAAATGATGTATATTTAACTGTGTGTCTGATATTTATTTTCTTTTTTGTAACTAGAGGGTAAATTAGAGAGCCAAGAATGATCTGTATTGCTTTTGCAAAAGATTGAATAAATAAAGTGTAGTGGACTATTTAATATTACATTTGCAGTGGTGATTTACTGTTTTACGAAATTATTTATAAATACAAATGTTGTCTATGGCACCGTTTATTTGTAGGACGAGATAATGTCATTTTATTTTAATCAGTTGAGGGACTTATCTTTCTATAATAAATAAATGTTTTCATACAAAAAATTGCTTTATATTAATACCAATTACCTTATTTAGGTTTAAATTGTAAATGTATTTTTTTAATGCAATATTTTTCATATAAGACTCCAGGGCCGGATTTACCCATAAGCAAAAGATGGGCCATATAATTTAGTTTTTTTAATAAGTAGCTATGGATTTTGTTATTAAAACAATATTTCGAAATGAGGCTTCAGCAAAAAGAAATATTATCATTTCTTATTGTTCATCTTTTACGGGAGGAAGAAAGGAAGGCAATCTATAAATCAGGCTTTAAACTTAACCTAAAAAATAATATAATAGAATCTTAAAAAATTATGCTAGGCGATAATAAGTGCTTTCTCCGCGTGATCCATAATGAACTATTTTTGACAGTTGTGTTATACTTGGTATAAAAAACTGAAAATAACACGATAGCAAAGATTAAAATTTAATATACTCTTTCTTAGAAGAAAGATTATATTTAATCTGTGACAATAGTTCCTAATTGTCCATAAACTAGAAAATAATAGAAGAATAAAAAAAATATATTGAAGATTTAAAGAAATTATTCATTGCATTATAATTGCAATTATTATTATTATGCTAATTTATTAAAAATAAATAAAAACTAAAAATATATTATTAAATTAAAAAAAGAAAATACCTAGTATTGATTAAACATTATACAAAAATAATCCAACTCAATAAATACAATAATAAAAACTGAATATTGAAACTATATATTTTTTTATTCTAAAACGCTGAAATATAAGATTTTGCTTCTATATTTTAAAAGCATAGAAAATAGAAGATTTCCCTTAAATATAGAAGACTTCTATTAAATATAGAAGGCCTCCACATCAAAAAGTCAAAAATAATGTTAGTTTAACGCTAATTTCTTGTTATTTTTTAATAATAACAAAATATATTATTGCAATAATACCATGCATGGTATAATATACTATTAAGACATTTATACACAATAATAGTGTACAGGGTGTTATGTAATTAATGTTATATATTAAAATACTGAATACCTTTTGACATAAGGAATAAAGGAAAAATATTTAAAAAAACATTTTTCCAAAGATAAAGAAAAAATATGCATTAGAATTTTTTTATATTTTTTGTGATACGCCACTGGTTACACACTTGTTTATCTCTGCACACCTGTATTTTGTGAGTACATAGATACCAACCAACAAAGTAGCTATGCGTTGCCAGATGTAAAAAATTGTTACCTACTGAAAATTTTTCTTGCAAAAAAAAATAAAAACTCAATAAATACAAAAGTTTTATGCCCTTAAAGCTCTAATACCCTTCTGTATTTATTTACTGATCCAGCTATTAGCTTAAGCAATGATTAGAAAATTTAGTACCTTTGAAATTTGAAATCCATAACCACAAAATTAATTTTTTCATCAGTTTTTTTCTTTGTTTACTCAGATGAAATTGGGACCAGTTCACAGGTTAAACTTTAAACATTTAATTTATGTAAATAAATCCAAAAGCACTTCCCTTAGTTAAGATATTTACAATTTGAAAACATAACCTAAAATTTAAAAGAAATGCACTAGATTCTGTCATAAAAGTTGGTAGATTTTGTTTGAATTTACCTTACCTGTACAAAAATGAAATAACCAACAATTAATAAAAACGCCAAATTGACAATTTGCATTGTTAATTTTGTCATTTTTGTAATTAAGCTAAATTTAAACAATGTTTGTCAACTTTTTTGAGAGATTTTGGAAACACTGTTGTTACCAACCATAACATACCCAAGCAACAATTTAAGTATTTGTTACGTATATGGGACTATTGAAGAAACTTCAAAGTGTTTTGCGACAGTCGCCGGTCTCTTTATATAACTCTTTCATTACTACGTTACGACTAAAGTGGGGAACAATTATTGAGTTCCAAAAAGGTAGCAAATATGTCACTAGCTACCAACCCTGCTACTATTTGGGACGTAGCTGCTACGTTACTAGAACGTTCCAATATCGTTGCTAGAGCGTTATAATTACTTTTATTATTTGTTTTTACTTCTATATTAACTGTCTTTGTCAAACTTATATTAGATTATACTATCCCTCCTTTTTTAAATGGAACCACTACGGACTTGGCTTTTCAATGTCGTCGTTTATTAAATATGTACTGGTAGTTTATAACTTCCAGAATAACAATATAATATTTAATTAGACAGGTAGATTTATAAACCCTTTAAATTTTACTGTTGAACTTATGAATTTAGTTTTTATAAAATAAATGCGCTTCATCAATATTTAAGTATAAACAAATTATTTATTTAGTAATGTTTATAAATAAAAAAATCTTAATATTTATTATTATTTTTTTTTATTTAATTATTAATACCGTCTATTACCAACAATATTTCTATTTATTAAAAAGTAAACAACCATTTACAAACAATTAAAATAATTTATTATTTACATTACCACGTGGTACTGTACAGTAAAAAATGGCCGATAAGAAGCATTTTCCTTTGAAGTAGTTTTCGCTACTTTAAAGTTTTTTTCCACTTTACGGTTGTTTTGGTTAGTACCATAAACGTTCCAAATACTAAAATAATAACTTTTAAGTTATTAACTTTGTAGTTTTTAACTCATGTTCCAGTTTCGAGATTTTAACTTGCAAAGGGACTACAAAGTAAAAATAATTATAATGTAATCTTTAGGTAGCAACCGAAAGTAACTGCTACAAATTAAATTTACTTGAAAGTTTTTTTTACTTATAACATCTTTTTTAAAGTTGCAAAGTCTTCTTGGGGGCAACCAAGTTTTACTTAAATGTTTATTACTTTATAGTAACAATTTAAGGAAAAATTAAGTTTCTGTTACAAAATATTGCTATTTAAAAGTTAGAATTACTTTTAAGTAAAAATTAAAGTAGCTGTTTAGTATACTTAACTAATTTAAAGTTATCACCACTTTGGCAATGGTTTTTGGAACCAAAAATGCTGCTTGGGTAATAAATCCACCAGATTAACCTAAAGTTCCTAGTCGATCAGTGGCGTACTTTTTGGTAGGATAAATGTTATTATAAATTATTTTTAGACTTTGGAATTTAGAAAAAAAAAGTTTCAGGTGCTTCTTTATGGACCCTAAGGAACAACCCATTTTAATATATAACATTAATTACATAACACCCTGTATATTATACACACCTTTACAAATACACAATAATATATTAGACTCAGCTCTTTAATATAATATGTATACTATAGTATACATATTATATTAAAGAGCTGAGTTCTTTGTAGGTACTATTTTTCTGTTTGTCAAAATTTAAAAAAAAATCGATTTAAGTACCTATAAATTATATTTACGTATCGTGCCTACTGTGCTTATTATGGAAAAATATATAGGTATATAGTATTATTTTCAGAAAATAAGACTAAACTAGTCTTAAACTGACAGATACATAACCTTAATTATATACAGTAGACTTGATATAACTGTCCTAAAAACGTCAACTTAAGCTTGATTTAACTGTTTTAAAAATATTAACTAAAACTGGTAATCTAGGATAACAGTACTGTCTTAATTAAGACAGTTATCCTAGTTCTTATAAGAATGCCAACAGCTGTAAACTGTATAAATGTCAAATTTAATCAAGTAAGTAGGTACCTATTATATAACTAATTAGATAATTATTATTATTAATAATTATGTTATAAGATAATTAACTGACCTACTGGTCTACTGATTTTAATACTATTATTTATTATAGCACAAGCACTGCACAGATAGAACTTCTATGATACCTACAATAGCAAAACTGTTATGTAAAGTTAATATTATGTGCATAAAACACAATGTAGGCTATATTATATAGCAGAATTAGCTTTGATTAGAACCGGAAAAGGTTTAGACAGAAAAAACTGGATTGGGGAGAAAATCTAGGTAACTTTGGATTTTAGGCAACCATTGTTACACGAGTTGTAGTAAACGTTGCCTAGATTGGGTGTTTTCGTTGTTAACCTCAAAGTTCACGTGTTTTTGAAGAAAAATTAGGTTTGACAACTTGTTAATGTCAATGTTGAGCAATTTGTGTCGGTGTGCGGTACTGTCGTCGAAGAAAAGCGTGCAAAAAGCGTCGACAAGCCTGCGTATCGGCCGGGTACCGTTATTTAGCGATTCATTTCCCCTCTCCCATCGAAAACGAAACGGTTTTCGCTTCGTTCATTCGGTAGTTGTGTCAGTGGGGCGGAGTAAAGTCGATTGTTTCCGCAGCACCAGCGATTCTAGTTGTAGTAGTAGATTTTCGTCGAGTTTCACGCCACAAACGAGTAGGAAAATGCCGGAAGGAAAACCGTTCGAGAGGTTGCCGAAAACCGTCAAGCCCGTGCACTACGAGCTCGCGCTGGTGCCAGATCTGAAGCTGCTCACTTTCCATGGAGATGTGTCCATTCGAATTGAGGTAGGTCCCTTTTGTTTTACGTTTTTAACGCGGTGCAAAACATATGCCGGTTGGCCCGCTACATTACACGCCGAATTCGTAAATTGTTTACGTTGCGATTCGACCGCTGTTCTGCGGTTATTTTTACATTTTTTTGGAATCGTACCAATGGAATGAATTGCAGATTATTTTGTGAATTAATACAAAAACAATAGTGTGCAGTTTACCGAAATGCTTATCTTAAAGTACGAATTTCATTATCTAACGATAATAAAATAAATCACACTTGTAATTTTTTGTAATTTTTTACTTGGGTTTTTTAATGAATTATAACCTACCTAAGTACTAATAATTTATACGTTTAGTTTTCAATGAAAAAACTTTTCATCCAAAATATAAAATCAATAGTTTTAAAACTTTCTAATAAGATTTTGTCTGTATTTAGGTTTATTACAATCAACATGCAAATTAAATATATTTTAAGGTGAACCTTGCTCCAAATTTAAGTAATACCTACTTAATAAGTTTACCTACTTGCGTATTTAATAAACGTAAAAATTGGGACAAAACAGTAGGTACGAAAAATTGTTTCGTGTATTGTTAGGAAAAATACCTAATAGAAAAATAATGCGCATTTAATAAACGTAAAAATTGGTAGGTACGAAAAATTGTTTCGTGTATTGTTAGGAAAAATACCTAATAGAAAAATAATAAAATTCCCATTTGTGTTTTTTAACAAAAATTAATGATTGTTGACAACAATAATTGTTATTTATCCATTTATCCACTTTTTATCAATAATTTTTGTAACCAAGCCAAAGAATAACAACATACTTATTTTGGGAACATAACAAATAATATTATTGGGTAACATACATTTTTTTTTGGAAAATCAAATTCCGTAAGTAGAAGAATTAACTAGAAAATATAGAAGTTTAAAAAATATACCTATAGAAGATTTAAACAAATCATTTATTACATTGTGTATAATTGTTAATTTTTTAAAAAATAAATCCTACCTACCTAAAATAAAATAAATAACAAACATATTTTATTAAATTAAAATAAATATAAGAAATAATACCTATGTTTTTTTTTTAATTTGCAAAAAACAATTTGTTAGCTTTTGAAAGCTGTGTATGACATGTACAATAGGGTGTCCCTTATTTTTATTTTTTTTACGCATACCCTCTAATTATATTTATTACTTGTTTATATACTCCCAGTAAAAATTTCAGCTCATTCTATAAACGGGAACCCGTGCCGACTTGCATCTGAACCCTCCGTTAGCCAACGTTAGGCGCGCGGTATTTTGTAACACGAAACACTTTAAAAAGAAGATATACTTCATGACTGTATTTTTCTAATGATTTTATTAAATATGATTACTAATTAATATTATTGCTTTTGTTTCTATCATTTGTTTCACTAATTTAGTTGATTTTATCCCTTAAATATATTAATATAATTAGTATTGCTAAAATATACTGTAATATGAAATTTCAGCTTTTTATAAGCATTTCTTTTCTTGGTGTCCACCCAAAAATATTTCAGACAGTTCAATAAGTTTTCGGTAGTCATCTCTCACAATAGACTCTTTTATTTATTTAAAGTAAAACCCATTAAGTTTATCAATTTTAGAGTTTACGGCCTATTCACCAGACCCTTCCGGGTAACTAGCCACTCCCTGTGAAAATATACATTTTTATCAAAGTATACACATAAGGGCCATTCCACGCGTAACGGATAGGACAGTTGCCGTGTTTTTATTTACAAAATAATATTGTTCTATTAAACAGTCAATCACGATACCTAATTTTGCCAAATAAAAACCTTGTTAAACAGCTTTTGTTTAGAACTATTTATAAAAATTTGACATTGGTAATATAATAGAACAATATTATTTTGTAAATAAAAACACGGCAACTGTCCTATCCGTTAAGCGTGGAATGGCCCATAAATAAAACTATATTTTAACATTTGTCAATAATTTATAATTTAAGGGTCACATAATAACAAACACAAAATGACTTAAGATCGAAGACCTCGCGACCAACCGTGTTACAAAATACCGCGCGACTAACGTTGGCTAACGGAGGGTTCAGATGCAAGTCGGCACAGGTTCCCGTTTATAAAATAAGCTGAAATTTTTACTGGGAGTATATAAACACGTAATAAATATAATTAGAGGGTATGCGTAAAAAAAATAAAAATAAGGGACACCCTAATGTACAAGTATGGGATGATTCAACAAAACTGTCACTGTCATTCTCCATAGCCTATGGATGGACCATAGCAACCTTAGTTCTTCATACAGAAAAATATTGGAAATTTTTAAAAAAATCCATATTTTCCACAAAAATAAATATATCGAGGTGAACCAAAAACAAAACTGTTAAGAATAGATTTGACTTGATAAATAAAACTTAATTTAGAACAATATACGGTTTTGCCACTCTACAGAGTGTCTTAAACTTATGGTAAAAACATCTTTTTGTTTAAACCTGTATATTATAAACGTACGTCTATTTTTTAGTATTTTTTTAAAAAGTGAGCGATTGTCCATTAATTTATCTACAATATTCTTTAATATTCGTTTAAATCCGACATCAAATAAAAAAGTTATTTGCGATTGAAATTCATCGAAAATTTGTGTGGATCTATTAGTTTGCACGTAAGTGTATATTTATTATGTGCATATTATTGTATATACAAATGTATATTAAATACCTAAGTGTAAAATGGTTTTTCTGCTCCTATTGCATATTATTGACATTATTTGGGATTTTTTTGTAAATAATGGTAACCAATATAATCGCCCGGCGTAACAACGTGAATAATGAACTCATTATTCACGTTGTTAGGCATCAGTGATTGGCTAATTTCAATATTCATGTTATTTGAACCAATCGGGTCTTAAATTGGGAAAAGGTAAGGTAGATTTGTTTATATATACGAGGGGCGACTATAATGATCTTTAAAATCGGGGAAAAGTGAGGTTATAATAAATTTTGTTATTAATTGGAGTAGAAAAAGCATAGAATTACACTCGAAGTGATATGCTATTATTTAATTTTTTAATGTTCCGAATTATCATATTATTTGTCAATGAAATGCCCACGCAGAACAAAAATGGAAGTGTTAATATTTAAACTTCTATAACATAAATACTGGTACCTAATAAAAATACTATATTGACTACCAACATAATCGAATGTGTAAAAGTCGAAATAAAAAAAAACAAACTATTAAATTTAAATTTTAAAGGCATCATTTTTTTTTAAATTGGGTATACAAAGAAAATTATTTACCATTTTTCACATTGGAGGTGCAGATCCGATAAACAATTCAAATTAAAAGAATTTACTTTTATAAATAATTCTGCAACTTTCTTTCGATTGCAACTAAACAAAAACTCGTTTTCCTGCAGAAAATTGCACTCAATGTACCTATAGTCGTATTTTAAATTGTTTCTTTAATTAAATGGATAATTGAAATCATGTAAATTGACAATTAATTATAATACATTTCACATAAATAACTAGGTAACTAAGATTATTATTTGTAGGTACTAATAATATATGTAAAGTTATTAGTATAGGTATATACATATTTGTTTTATTTGGAGTTACTTAACACATTAAAAAATAATTAGTTTATAAATTAATTAAAATTATTTATTTATTTATTAATTACCAAAATTTGGTGTTTTGTCTTTTTAACATGGTTCCCACAAGATGTAATGTATCATGTGATGAAATTTCCCATTAGATAAAATAAATACATAATTTTAACTTCCTTTGATTTCTCATGTATTTAAATCCTAGGATTTAAATAATACATTTTGCCGCCAAAACTCGATTTCGCGACATCAAAGGCATATATGCATTTTTTAAATTGAAAGTTCATAAAAACAGTTTTCTTTTAATTATAAGAAAATAAACACTTGAACCCATTTTCAGGTCACCGAACCAACGAAAGAAATCGTCCTCAACGCATTGGACTTGGAATTGGACTCTGTAGTCCTAAAAGGAGACAAGCAACAGACTCCCAAAGTCCAGTTAAGCCCAGAAGATGAGACTGCCCGTCTATCGTTTGATACCGCGATCGCGCCCGGTCCCTATAACCTCAACATTGTTTTCAAGGGAGAAATCAACGATAAAATGAAGGGTTTATACAGGTACCCACGTGTTTTTTTTAATCTCACCTAAATTAAATTCGTGACTAAAATATGGCAAGCCGTTTTAGTTTTTATTACACATGGCTATCAAGTCTCATTTTAATTCGACTTGATTTCTATGAGACATTAGATAATTGAAATTATATGTATTTTCCTTAAGGGAAATTACATTTTTATTATAATTTCAAAATTGAATGCATATTTTCTTTACAAATAGTAAAAATAATGCATTTGTTGTATTTATTTCCATTGGATTTTTAAATATTGTCCTTAACGTAAAAGCAATTTTCGTTAACCGAAATTTTATTAAATTTACTAATTATAATTTTAATGCAAATTATTTTTACTGTTTTAGTTTTTTGGAGCAATTTTATGACACATTAAAAGGATTTTATTTTAATTCAATTTTATTAAAGTAGCTTCTGACTTGGATACAATGTTACATTTTATTTATGTTAGACCAGGCTAAGTATTAAAATAAAACGAATTAAAATTACTATTACGAATATAAATGTATTTGTCCTTAAAGATATAGTTTTATACTTTCCTAAATGACATAAAAATTAAAAACATTTTAATTTAAAATACTGATTGAAATGTTGTTCCCGAATAAAATTTAGAACCGCAATATATAGAGTCTAACAATATTTAGAGAATCAGAAAATAACATCGAATTAAAATGAGACTTAATGCATGATCATGATCATGTGTACAAAAAATAGCTCGAATTACTTTTATTTTTAACTAAACAAAAATAAACTTCTATTTCCGTTAAGGGAAATTACAATTCCCTTAACGAAAATGTTATTTCCCTTAACGGAAATGCTATTTCCCTTAACAGAAATTACATTTCCCTTAAGATAAATTAGTGGCGCTATCTGTGGTGAAGATGCCGAAGGTTCCACCGCTTACAGAGTTCTGCCAACTTTGGTATAGCATTATCAATACAAATTTTGTGACAATTTTCTGAAAATTCGATAATTTTGTCAATAATTTGTCGATGATTTGTCGATAATTTCACTTTTTACATCTGGCAACACTGGTGGGTGATATTTTGTGGGTGGATGTGAACAGGTGTAACGGTTGGTTTTTAAATTAAAAAGGTAACAATCAAAAAAATTCTTTTTACTAATAAATCTTTTGTAAAATCACAGTGCAATAATTTCATTTTATAGAATTTTGATAAAATTAACTATTTGAACTTCAGCCGTCCTCTCATAGATGGCGCTAATTTCCCTTAACGGAAATGCTATTTCCCTTAAGGGAAATACAATTTCTCTTAACAGAAATGATATTTCCCTTAAGGGAAATTTCATTTCCGTTAACGGAAATGCATTTAAATTCTTAATTATAATAAAAACTACTTTCCTTAACGAAATTTGCATTAAAATTACTATTTGTCATAAAAATAATTTTTATTATTATTTCAAATAAAAATGAAATGTTTTAGTATTTTTATTACAATTTCGAATGTAAATCATCCTCTACATCTAATCTTTTCAATGTACCCAAAATTTCAATGCTTATTAAAAAAGGAATTTTATTTATAATTTGTAATTAAAATGTAATTTCCCTTATATTAAGGAAAATACATATAATTTCAATTATCTAATGTCTCATGGAAATCAAGTCGAATTAAAATGGGACTTGATAGCCATGTGTAATAAAAACTAAAACGGCTTGCCATACTAAAATAGCGTTTATCGTAACACTACGATAGTTTTACAAACTTTTTTTGTAACATTAAGTACTCCAGCTTAGTTTAACTAATTTTGGGCTGCTGATTTTAAAAATGTCATTAGTTTTTCTCTAGGACGTCTAGGATTTAAAATAATTTCGTAATAAAATCACCTCAAAATGTAAGTTTTTTGTTGGTATTTTAATTATTTATTAAATTAATTTGGCTTAAATTTATCTTGAATGTACTAAAGTAATTGGTATACGGCAAATAGATCATAATTATCCTAACAATATGACATTTTAAATACTAAAACAAAAATTTTAATGTATTTTATATAAAAAAACAACCATTTTTTGACATTTTTTGTTGTTTATTTTAATTATTAAATTGAAAGGGCAACAAAGTAAACAAGTTTCAGTATTTTTTATCCAAATTAAGCCCTCAAAATTTAATGAATTGCATAATTTTTTCTACCTTAAATTTATTAAATCGTATCAAATATCAAATTGGATTATAGTATTATTGTGCTTAATCCTCATCATCGTCGTACATCTTTTGCTGCAAATTCCAGCAAATGTCTCCTAGCAATGAATCCAACTTCTTTTCGCTATACCCATAGATATCTACCAATGCTCTAGATTTGCAGTACTTGGTGAATTCGTTCTCCATGTTCATCAGTTCGGCAAATTTATCAGGATGAAAAAAAAAAGAAAATGTATTTTAAATGACATATTAACGCTAATTATTTGCAAAACGGAAAGCATTTTTTCAATGAATTGGCGCCAATTTTAGGCCCGATATGAACCAAGATCATTTTCAATGACAGCTTTAACACTGCCATATGCGACAAGCTCGTCAACTTTGAGAGCATTTTTGATTGCTTGATCTTTCATTAAACGTCGTATATCAGGTCCATTTAATATTCCTGCAAAATTAAAGTAGTAGGTATATCTCATAAAATTTTGTAATGAAATATTGCGTTGGTTTTTCTTGGGCGTAAAGGTACCGCAACAAAAACAAAACAAATTTACAACGACGACATAAATGTTCGTCTCCTTTCTCTTTCTCTGCCACTTCCATTACCACTTCCATTTCCTGCTCTTTTTTCATTTTTGGTTCTTAAAATCACTTTCAAGTAAAAATACAATTTAAAGTTTATATTTTAAATGTCAATAATTAATAGATGCACTTTCGTATGCTTGAACGATAAAGTAGATAAAGGCGTCTTTATACTTCAATTCGAGATTAAATTTTTGGGTACTTTAGGCATGATGTGAATAAAAACATATCAAATAATAGTCGGAGAGTAATGCTTATACCGAAACCCATGTACTTTGTTGCCTTTTCAATTTAATTAGTAATTAAAAAAAGACAAAAATTTCAAAAAAATGATACTTTTTACCAAAAAAAACATTATAATTTTAGTTTTGGTATTTAATATAGCACTTCTCTGCAGAAAAGTGCTTTATTAAATATCCCTTATATAATACTACCATTATAGTATATGGCTACAATGGAACAAACAAAATTTCTATTTGACATTTATCTACCGATGACCCTGTATATTTTTGACAAAAAACGTCAAAAATAATTTAATAAATAATCAAAATATTAACAAAAAACTTACATTTTGAGATAATTGAGCAGAGCATTTTATTGCGAAATTATTTCTAATCCTAGACGTCCTGGAGCAAAACGAGTGGCATTTTTGAAATCAGCATCCCAAAATTAGGTAATATAGGTGGGCGTACTTAATGTTAGTAAATTGAACTATATAGTGTATAGTAGACTGGGCCGAAAAAATCGACTATTTTTTTTGTAAAGTATATCGAAAATATTGTTTGGGGTGACAAAAAAAAAATATGGTGAAAGTTTGAGTCCATAATATTAATATTAAGAGGTCTATCATCGCAATTTTAGATTTTTTTTCCTGAGCGAGTTTTTATCTCAGAACTCCCAAACCATTGAGTTTAACAAATTTGACTTAAGAATATTTTTTGAAGAAAATTGAATGCTCTGCAAAAAAAGTTTGATTGGTATTTCACGTCAGATGAACCGTTTTCTTACAATCATGATTTAAAAATTGATATAGTTTTACAATTTGATCTTTTAACTTTGAAATTTTGTAATTCATGTAAAAATCAGTACCCGGAAAAAAACCGATAAATATTCTTATGGGAAATCAAATGCTCTACAAAAAAGTCTTTTATCATTTTTGGCTAAATTCACTCCATCAAAAGTTATTCAAGGTTAAATTTGAAGTCAAAACGAAATTTTAACCTTGAATAACTTTTGATTGAGTGAATTTAGTCAAAAATGTTAAGGGGCTTTTTTTGTAAAGCATTTGATTTCCCATAAGAATATTTATCGGTTTTTTATGGGTACTGATTTTTACATGAATTACAAAATTCCAATTTAAAAGATGTAAAACTATACCAATTTTTAAGCCATGATTTTAAGAAAACGGTTCATCTGACGGAAAATTTCACTTTAACCTTTTTTGTAGAGCATTTAATTTTCTTTAAAAAATAGTTTGAGTCAATTTTGTTAAACTCAATGGTTTGGGAGTTCTGAGACAAAAACTTGCTGAGGAAAAAAAAATTAAAATTGCGATGATAGACCTCTTAATATTAATATTTTGGACTCAAACTTTCACAATAACTTTTTTTTGTTACCCCAAACCATATTTTCGATATACTTTTCAAAAAAAAAATAGTTGATTTTTTTGGCCCAGTCTAGTGTATAGTGTAATACACTATTGAATACGATTTTTTTACTTCTGCAGGAGCAAATATGTGAATGAAAAGGGCGAAGAATTGTACGCGGCTGTCACTCAGTTTGAGTCTACAGACGCTAGAAGGTGCTTTCCATGTTGGGACGAGCCTGCGCACAAGGCAACCTTCGATATCAGTTTGACAGTTCCGAAGAATCTAGTGGCCCTGTCTAATATGCCTGTCAAGGAGACTGCGCAAAAGGGAGAGTTAATCAAGTAAGGCAGTTTTTTTGTTATTGTCATCTTGGATAGTTAAAGTTTTAAGGAAAAAACTTTTTTTGGGCTATTGGAAAAATAGAGGAAAATTGAAAAATTATATAAAATTATTTTTGCAGTATCGTGCGTTAAGAAACAATAACTGAGTTGATTCGTTCGGGGATTTACAGAAATTTTTAATACTATTTATGCCGTTGTTTTAAAGATTTTAGTTTGAATTTGAATTTTTAATAATAGTTTTATAAAAACATGCAAAAAAGTATAGTAATTGGACATTTTATATAGTAATTATACACATGGACCATAGTTATTGGACATACAATTTTTATATAAACATAACAACTTAACATCAAATAACATGAATTGTTAAGTATTTTTTAAAGATAAATTGCTGTTTTAGGTAATTTTTTTTATTTCGTTTTTGCAAATATCATATAATTCATATATTTCTTTCTCGGATTACTCATCCCTTTTCTGGATTTCTTGGTCTGACTTCTGAAATAGTATGTTGCAAATATCTCTAGTTTGAGAAGCATTTATAATGTTTAGGCCGGAACAGGATGATTTATATATATCTAATATTTTTCGGTTGGTATGTTGGAAGTATTTTCCGAATTTATTAATTTTGTTGCCATTAGTTTTTTATGTTCTCTATCATGCACTGTATTTAAATCACTGTTATTCTACAAGATGTCCTGTGACGAAGAAATCACTATATTACTTACTTTCTAAAAATAGATTAGTCAAAAATGTCATAGCGAAAAAGCAGCCACTAATAATTCTCGTTAACAGCAATTTGTATACAGGTCATTTAGCAGTCAATTCCTATGAAATATTATTCACTGAAATTTATAAAAGTAGAACAGTTTTTGAAAAATAATCAATTTTACATATAATATGGAATTGACTATATCTCAAGAACTGCTCAACTTTTATAGTTTTTGACGGTCTTTTCGGATTCAGGAAACAATTTTACATAACAATTGACTGGTAAATGTCCGGGATACAAATATAGTATGATATTGGCCATATGTCCAATAATAGAAATTTACATTTTTCACCAACCAGTAATTGGACACTGACCATTTTACTGTTTGTTTTCAAAATTAACATTAAAATGCATTAAAGTGACAATGTTTAAACTTTAAACCATGAGGAACCCATTTATACCACACACTGATCTGTACACTTTTTAGAAATATTTTTTAATGTAATTTAAACACAGCCCCGCTCTTAACAAAAAAACAAAAATCTTACCGCCAAAGTAACGTGCGAACTTTTTTGTCCTATATTGGACCCAAAATGAAGTAGTTCTATATTATTACCGACTGAGATAGTTATAATTGTATACAGCGCCATCTAATGATTTGACTTTAAGGTAACTATTTATAGAACTCTTGTTTTTACAGTATTAATGTTAATTGTCCAATAACTATAAAGTGTCCGATAACTGTCTAATTTACCTACTAATAATACTACTTTTTTCAAAATTTTCATTTTTTTTTCAATTTAAAAAAAACAAAACATTTTTATGGTTTACGGAAATTTTAAAACTACTCAAGACATAGATAGTTTCAAATTATTTTTTGTGACAATTTGTTTTCTCTTTTATTTGCAAGGTTATAGAAGGAAAAAGTTCTTTCTCCCAAAAAGAAATTTTTCCTTCTAAATCCTGGGAAATAAAAGAGAAAAAATAGAAAACAAATTGTCAAAAAAAAATAATTTACCTAAAACTTGAGCCCTAAAGTTGAATAAATTTTCCACGCCAAATCGACCTTTGGTTGACATTTTTATGCTATATTTTTATACTACCCCACTAAAAACGTTCCTGTAATTTTGTGACTTTATTTTGTTTCTTAAAAAAAACTTTAGAAGATGTTGGCCCACGATGGGATTTGCGGTATTTTTTCTTAAAAAAAAATAAATAAAAGGACTTTTTTCACCTGTCTTGTGTAAAAAGTGGAACAATTAGAGCGGTTTATTTGTTTTTGTATTGTAAACTTAAAACGTCAAAACCAGTTTTTTGAATTGTTCAAGAAAAATAAACACAGTGAAAAGTAAAAATAATTATTATTACTATTGCAATATAGTTATTTATTAGTCAGATTTTATTTATTTAATTTTAAAAATCATATTATTTACCAACAAATTTTACTCGCTCTTAAACAATTGCGCTTTCGTAAAAATTATCGGCAATTTTTAAGTGGATTTAAAAAAATATTCGCTTGTGTTAAAAAGGGAAAACATTCACAGAAACTTTTTTAGGGGGCTAGTATAACATTAAAATGTCAGCCAATGCGAAAGTGGTCGATTTGGCGTGGAATGCCCCATATATAGAAAGCTCTGAGAAAGGTTTTCCTCATCATAAAATCCAAGTACACATTCTCTTGTCTACGTTTACCTTATGCGGCTTTTTTGTCATTAGTTAAGGTATTGTGCAACGAAAAGTAACTGTAATCATAATTTTATTATTAATAATCATAAAATACGTACGATTTGCATAATTACTGCAACGTTATAAAACAATTTCTAGTTTTTCCGATGTGTGTAAAGTGCCTAGCCCACATGAAAACCCGACAGGATGTGTTAATTGATTTAATTGTCCAGTAAAAAAAATTGTAGAAAATTCGACCTTTGCCGTTAAACAAGGTTACAGAAATTACGAGCTAAATTTAAAATTTCTCTATATTTCACTATACGCTAAAGAAGTAGCGCCACCACTCGGCTGTTATCATCGTAACAAAAGTACAACTTTTAATAATCAGCTGTCAAACGCTTATGTTACAAACAAGTGTTTTTTATAATAAAGCCGGAAAATGTTAAAGAAATATCGGAAAAGAACCGTGGTTCGATTTGTTGTGTTGTTGGGTGTATTTCGAGAGGAAATCCTGGGTTGAGTTTTTACCGGTTTTCCAATAAACAGTGTTAATCTGAATGAAGAAATAAATTGCATACAGTCTCTGTATATTTATACATTGTACCTATTAGATACAATAAATACACATTTTAGTAGTAATTAACGTGAAAAGTGTAAACATTTCAATTCAGTAAAAATCGTCAAACAAATAAGTCGTCTAAATTTAAACAGCATTTAGCATTATTAAAAGCGTTGATTAAGAATTCTTTAAAGTCTCCACTCAACGGTAAAATACCATTATATTATTATGTATTATAATATAATATATAATATTATGAATTCGTAGGTATATTTTGTTTTTTCCAATGCAGTTGTCGGCGTTTTTTAGAGAACTCAAATATAAAAATGGTTGATTTTAAGGTTATGTTTATGCAAAAATAATTTTTTACTAATTTCTTAAAAATGTCCTTCTTAAATATAAATTATATTAGGTAAAGTTATTATTAGTTAATTCTGCACCAACAAATGTACTTACCGAATTGGATCCTGTGGCAAAACATGAAAATGCAACGATTGAGTTCTTGAATTTTATTTACAAATAAAAACACAATAATTCACCATGATCCTTTAGATAAAATACACACACTAACGTTGCTATATAAGCATTTAAGCGTTGAGTTTCTTAATCAATGATATAAAGAATAATCAATCGAAATCGAGTTCTAAACCAATTTTTTAGTTTTTTTCTTGCAACGTAAAACACAAATAACGTGCGCGATTTAGCTGTGCAATTGAACAAAATTTGTCGAGTAAGACTTCTGCCTTTCTCTCTTTTGTGAAAAAACTACCTATTTATTTAAAAATGATGTATAATTTGTGCTTTAAATGTATCCACCAGATGGCGCGCGCGTTGCTTCTTTAGCGTATTTGAGTTAATAAAAAGATTTTTTTGAGAAGACTAGAAATCCCTCTGAAACTAAACATTGCTGTCTTAGGTACACTTTCGAGAAAACCCCGATAATGTCCACATATCTGGTGGCAACGGTGATCGGAGAATACGATTACGTCGAAGACAAGTCGACAGATGGCGTTTTAGTTCGCGTGTACACCCCCAAAGGCAAGAAGGAACAGGGGCTGTTCGCTTTGGAAGTTGCCACTAAAGTTTTACCATACTACAAGGACTACTTCAACATCGCGTATCCTCTGCCCAAAATCGATCTGATCGCCATTGCCGATTTCAGCGCGGGTGCCATGGAAAATTGGGGACTTGTCACCTACAGGTAAGCCTTAAGTTTAAGTGTCTGAATTTATGATTCTATAATTTTTTGAAGTGAAAGGTTCAAAATTTTCGAAATTAAAAAAAAATCTGCACGGCACTGGATTCACCACCCCTCAAAACCACCCTATACTAAATTTTATTGTAAAATGTATTCTGTCGTTATCCATGAAAAAAACATTGAAATTAAATTAAACTTATAGTAACTTTGTATAAATATTCTTATGTTTGGTTTTGACAAATAAAAAACGCAATAGAAACTTAATAAAACACTGAAACAAAAAATAGAGAATTCAAAAAGTCTCTACAATTAGATTCTTGTCACGAAAAGCTAAAAGCCTAAAAGCTCAAAAGCTTGCTTGATTAAGGACATCAGTTACAGTGGATTTACATATTCTGTCGCTTTTGTTAAATAACAAAATACAAAATTAGTTAAATTGCCCAAAAAAGTTTTAGTTCAGTGTTTAGTTTCCTTTTCATCTTGATATATTTCTTGAGGCATTTTATATTCTCGTTTTAGCGCCATCTGCCGTGTTGTAAAAATGCAAAAACTTTGCCATATTTCGATTAATGTGCATGCGCATCGAATTCAACACCATCTTTTGTTTTTACAATGCTTCGTTGTACTTTGATATATCGTTGGATTTCTTGATTTGTTATCTATCTATCTCCCTTTAAGGTTTTAAAGTCTCGAAAAAAAACAACTTTTTTTTCGTTTTTTTTTCACGCCTTAAAAAAATTGTCTTTTCTGGGGAAAATTGAATTTTTTTGAAAAAGAAAGTAGCAATTAACAACTTAACATTATTGTAATTTAAAAAAATAAAACTTAACATTGAATTAAATTAAATTTATTTAAGAAAATGTCTGTCGGTTGTGTCTTTTTTGCAAAAAGAAGTCCATTGAAAATATCCCATTACAAAATATATTATATATCTACAGGGTGTTATGTAATTAAATAATATATTAAAATACTGAATACCTTTTGACATAGGGTGTAACGGAAAAATATTTAAAAACATATGAAAAAATATGCATTAGAAGTTTTTTATATTTTTTGTGATACGCCACACACTTGTGTTCTGTGAGTACATAGATATCAACCTACTAAGTAGCTGCGCGACGCCAGATGTAAAAAATTGTTACTAAAAATTTTTCTTGCAAAAAATAAATAAAAACTCAATAAATACAAAAGTTGTATGCCCTTAAAGCTTTTAGTACTTATTTAAAAAAAAAATTTCATCGGTTTTTTTCTTTCTGTTTACTCAGATGAAATTAGGACAAGTTACAGGTTTACCTTTAAACATTTAATTTGTGTAAATAAATATTTAGTTAAAATATTTGCAATTTAAGCACATAACCTAAAATTTGAAAGAAATGAACTAGATTCTGTCATAAAAGATGCCAAATGTTGTTTGAATTTACCTTCATTACAAAAATGACATAATTAACAATTAATAAAAACGCAAATTTAACAATTTCCATTGTTGATTTTGTAATTTTTTTAATTAATTTAAATTTAAACAATATCTGGCAACTTTTTTGACAGAATCTGGAAACGCTGCTTGATACCAACCATAACATAATAAATCAAATTAGGCAACCAGATTAGCCTAGTCAATCAGTGGCGTACTTTTTTGTGGGATAAAGATTATTATAAATTATTTATAGTCTTTAGAATTTAGAAAAAAAGTTTCAGGTGCTTCTTTTTGGACACTAAGGATCTACCCATTTTAATATATTACATTAATTACATAACACCCTTTATATTATTTTAAAGTTAAATTACAAAATTATAATTGTCAAATAAAACGAAACTTTTGGGACCCGGTGGAATATTTTTTAGAATTAAAATAAAAGGAATAATAAGTATAATCATATTTTTTAGAAAAATTTACTTTTACATTTTTTCGTATTATCCTTTGAATAAAATGAAAAAAATGAAAGTCAATTTTTCTAAAAAAATCACAATTTTTGATGAAGAAAACGGCTTTTTCCGCCGACTCAGTTTTTCCGGTAATTTTAAAACCCTTCTAACCATGTAAAATATGGCGGCCATAGGAGGAAAAACAAAATATGGTGGTGGCATCTCGAAATCTAGTAAGCGAAAAAAATCACAAATTGGATAAAAATGTAGATAAATGTGTGTTTACATGTAAAACTTACTTTTTTTCAAAATTCCCAGGAATAACGAAGTTACAAGAGTTTTTAGTTTTGACAGGTTTTCAGTTTTTTTCAAATTATTTGAGAACCGCAGGTTTTTTTCCCAATTTTTAAATGCCATTCTACTAAACTTGTAATTACGCAACTTTTGTCTAATTTAACCGACCTTGTAGTCCTTCAGATAAAAAAGATACCCTTTGTAAAAGTAAGTTTTTTGGACAACATTAAAATCTTGACGATATCTCATGACTCACTGTTATGTTACCTACATTGTTGGATTCTAATTGTTCAGCTATCGGATGCAATTTTCGAATTATATTGTCATTGAGTTTTTTTTCACCGTTGATGATTTAAATAAATCACGAACTCCTCGCCGCTCACCGCGAGACCTTGGTTTGGCTCTTTGTTTGTGCATTTTTATGCAGGCGCACAGGCTAATGAAAATTTAATGATTTAATGACATAATTGACGAGTCGTTATAATTATGCCGCTACCGTGTTACAGCGTTACGTTGCTGCAACGTGCCTGTTCAGATGTGGCATACCGTATCAATATTCATTATGCATTGTTTGCAATAATTAATGGAATAAAGCGGTCTAGTTTATGGTGTGCATACTCGTATTACCTAAAATAATAAATTGCACAGTTCCCCTGTTAATTAACATAAAATGCGGCAAGGACGTAAAGACAATTTAATTTATTCCGACCCAGAAAGTCAATTCACTATTGTTCATTTCGTATCAATGAAAAACCCTTATTGGACTTACCAATTTTCTTTAATTTTTGAAGTATGTAAAATAGTCGATATCTTATCAAAGTTATAAACAAAAAAGTGATTTCTTTCTACTCCCATCTTTAAAACGCCCATTATCGTGGAAATTATGTTATTATCTTCTCAAAAATAAAAAGTATAAAAGTTTCTTAACGCCAATACCTTTGAAAAGTTTATACTGGCGTGCTTAATGAAAACGCCGTAACCAACAATTTTGCGATTTTTGTTTTACGGCATTTTCTACTAGAACAATTCATCCTGTGTCTATCCCCGGTACTCAAAAAACCGTATATATATAGATACGGTTTTTTGAGTACCAGGGATAGACGCAGGATGAATTGTTCTAGTAGAAAATGCCGTAAAACAAAAATCGCAAAATTGTTGGTTACGGCGTTTTCATTAAGCACGGCAGAATAGGTATTAGTATTTGCAGTGGAAAAACTATAGTATGCAACTCGTTTATAAACTTTTATAGACACTAATTTAATTAAGCACTCGCTCGTGCCTACATTAAATTCTTAACAAAAATTGCGTTTATAAAACTTGATACTTAATATAGTAATTTATGAATTAAATCGCGTTAAAAACACATTTTTAGGATAAAAATGAAATGGGTGATTGTAAAAAAATATGTTACAACATAATATTTTTCACAAAAACCACTTTTGGGGCTTTAAAACTCATTTTTATTATAAAACTAATTACAACATGTTTAGATACAAATTCAAACAAGTTGTTACTATGGTGGAAGAAAAATTTTGGGAAAACCTGTTTTTTTAGTTTTTCCCCAGGTCTTGGAAAAAATGGCTTTTTGGGAAAAATTGATTTTTTTGGGAAACATACACATTTGAAAAAAAGTGTCAATCAAAAACTTAACATTTATTTTAATTTAAAAAAAAATGTCCTTACATAAAAATAAAATAAAACTAAACATGAAATTAAATTAAATTGATTTAAGAAAATAAACTTAAACGTTAAATATTCTGTCGGTTGGGTCTTTTTTGCAAAAAGGAGTCCATCGAAAATATCCAATTACAAAATAATGAATGATTAATAAAGTTAAATTACAAAATTATAAATTTATAAATCGAAGTGTCAAATAAAACAAAACGTCCATTTCAAGCGCGCGAAACAGTCGAATTACAAAACTGTTTTTATAAAAAAAAATGTAGATAATTTATTATATAATATTTTGGCATTAAAATTGTCAAAAATATTCTTTTAATAGGCTATACATTAAATAAAAAAAACGCAAAAAATATTTTATAAAATTAGTGATATTTTTAATAAATGAAAGTTGTGGACTCTACTTTTATAAAATATTTCTTGCGTTTTTTTTATTTAATACAGTGTGTCCACGGATGGACTTAACTATACTTGTAAAAATATTTATTTTCAATTTTTCGAAGAAAAGTTACTCCTCATAATTTCTTCTGCTTGTTATATAAATACCATTCACGATAAGAAACTTTTATTTTGTTAGATACATTAATGGAGAATCGCTCACATTTTAAAAACTAGTAAAAAATACACGTACGTTTATAATATACAGGTTTAAACAAAAATATGTTTTTTACCATAAGTTTAAGACACTCTGTAGATTGGCAAAACCGTATATTGTTCTAAATTAAGTTTTAATTATTAAGTCACATCTATTTTTAACAGTTTTGTTTTTGGTTCACCTTGATATATATTTAATTTGTAGAAAATATGGATTTAAAAAAAAACATTGCAATTTCCAATATTTTTCCTGTATGAAGAACTAAGGTTGCTATGGTCCATCCATAGCCTATGGAGGATGACAATGACAGTTTTGTTGAATCATCCCATACTTGGACATGTCATATACAGCTTTCAAAAGCTATCAAATTGTTTTTTGTAAATTAATGTGTTAATTTTGAGGTGTCTTCTTAATTTTGGATGGACCATAGCAACCTTAGTTCTTCATACAGAAATTGCAATGTTTTTTTTAAAAATCCATATTTTTCACATAGTCACAAAACTGTTAAGAATAGATGTGACTTGATAAATAAAACTTAATTTAGAACAATATACGGTTTTGCCACCCTACAGAGTGTCTTAAACTTATGGTAAAAAACATCTTTTTGTTTAAACATGTTTATTATAAACGTACGTCTATTTTTTAGTAATTTTTTAAAATGTGAGCGATTGTCCATTAATTAATATGTATAATATTCTTTAATATTCGTTTAAATCCGACATCAAATAAAAAAGATATTTGCGATTGAAATTCATCGAAAATTTGTGTGGATCGATTATTTTGCCTGTGAGTGTATGAAGGATAAACCAAAATGCCAAATAAACTTTTTTCATGCGAGTTGTTACTAAGATATTTGTTATTAAAAATAAAATCAGTTCAGGTCCTATTATTTGGTAGAAATTAAATGCCATCTTAATTTGTGATGAATGTGATGGATCAAGGTTGTTTGTTAAAATTTGAAAACTAATATTTAAATTTTTAATATCAAATAGTCATATAAAAAAACTTCATTTGACTTTTTGATTAGCGCTTCAAAAAAATATTAAATTTTTTTTTTTATTTTGAAAATCTGAATTTTTGTTCACCCTCTACAACAAAATAGATGTTTCTCAACGCGAATCGTATTTGTATAACAAGCAAAAGAAATTATGAAAAAAAACAACAAAATTTGAAATAAATATTTTTACAAGTATAGTTAAGTCCATCCGTGGACGCACTGTATAGCCTAATAAAAGAAATATATTTAAAATTTTTTATGCAAAAATAATATATAATAAATTACCTACAATTTTTTTTGAACAGTTTTGTGATTTGTCCCGTCCGTATGCTTGAAATGGCCGAAAAGTTATGTTAAAACAGCTCCGAATATGTTTTCACTTTTTTCTCGATATCAGTTTACGGATACGTAGTACAAATTTGGAAATTTTCAGAAAAATTGACTTGTATTTTTTTGTATTACCCTTTAAATAAATTGAAAAAAATACGATTAAAAAAAACCGGTTTTTTTCCGCCGGCTCAATTTTTCCGAAAATTTTAAAACCCTAGTTGTAACCAAAGTTTTATTGCAAACATAAGTTTAAAAAAAAAGTCCAGGGACTGTATTTTCAAAATTTCAAAGAATGACATTTAGTGATTCTTTTCTTTAGGGAAACTTGTCTGTTGGTGGACCCTCAGAACACCTCAGCGCACAGCAAACAATACATAGCTCTCGTCGTGGGCCACGAGTTGGCCCACCAATGGTTCGGCAATCTTGTAACCATGGAATGGTGGACTCACTTGTGGTTGAACGAAGGTTACGCTTCGTTCGTCGAGTTTCTGTGCGTGAACTACCTGTTCCCGGAATACGACATCTGGACTCAGTTCGTGAACGATTCCTACATCAAAGCGTTGGAACTGGACAGTTTGAAGAACTCCCATCCCATCGAGGTAATGTAATAATATCTTTATTAGCCAGAATAGTATAAATAAATGAAAAACATAAAATAACACAGAAAATAAATAAAATCATATACCACTATTATAGTGGTATAATACCACTATAGTGATAATATATGAGATCTAATACAATTTTTAAAAGTTGTGATATCACTACATTGTTGTATCTCCGGGGATAGCTTGCAATCATACCCTTGTACATAGTAAAGTTTGACATTTGTACTGTTTTACATCTATCAAGTTGGAAATGGTTTATATTACGAGTATTGTAATGGGGTAGTTAATTTTTTTCTGACCTATACTTTTTATGGTTTCCGTGAAATCGGAATTTCAATTGAGTTTACAGTTTTCGAGATATTTACAAAAAAAAATCTCCTAATTACGTCACTAGGCTATTGACAACGTTGCCAGCTTTTTCTATGGTTGCCAGTGTTTAGTTTAAGATTCTTACGATAGATGGCGCCACGTTATAATATTTTAGTTTTAAAAGCACTTGATCTATAATTTTAGTTGAGAAGAAGAAGAAGAATTGATTTTTTGACGTTTCTTTTTTTCGGGTTATGTTTTTTTTAAATTTAGATTATTGAAAATCAATGTTATTGTTATGTTATTTGTAATTGATATTAGATAAGTGATTTATTAATAACGGACTCCAAAGCAGAGGAATCTTGTGGAATGGTTGGTTACATTGAACATTGGAGCTTTTAAACAAATAAAGTAAGTAATTATAATCATATTTTGTCGTAAATGCATTTCATTAGTATAATGCCTAGTTCTTTATATTCTTTTAGATATATCTTGGACTTTATTTTGCCACTTTTTTCTATGAAATATATTAAACTCTGCTTTAGACAGTTATTAGGTACCTATTTATTACATTTTATTAGGTTTCACGCGGTGTTTCAATGTGTAAACCTATCAATAAAACTTTTAATTTCAGAATTTTCTTTAACCTCCTCTTCTTCTTCTTCTTTCACTCAACTGACTGACAGTATTTGTACATAACCTCTTCGGGTATTTTCTGACATAACCGAATGAAATCATTAACAAGACAACTTGACAACAGGGTAATTTTCAACCAATAGAAATCTTAGAATGTTGGTCACATGGCGAGGTTTGTGACGTCATAAAAATTTATATTTTTTGTAAATATCTCGAAAACGGTAAACTCAATTGAAATTCTGATTTCACAGAAATGTTTAATATTACAAAACGCCTTGAATAAAACCATAAAAAGTATAGGTTAGACATTACGCACATATTTAGGTCCCGGTTAATAATCCGTCGGAGATAGACGAGATATTCGACGACATCAGCTACAACAAGGGCGCTTCCGTCATAAGAATGCTGCACCATTACATCGGCGACGCTCAATTCCGCAAGGGGATGCACTTGTACCTCACGAGGCACCAGTACAAGAACACCTTTACCGAGGATCTGTGGGCCGCTTTGGAAGAGGCCAGCAGCAAGCCGGTCGGTGATGTCATGTCCACTTGGACCAAGCAAATGGGATTTCCGGTCGTCACCGTGGCCAAAAAGGTGACCAACGAAGGAGGCGGCCTTACTTTGACCTTGTCCCAAAGCAAGTTCACTGCTGATGGTGAGATATTTCATTTTTTATTTTATTTAGGGTATTCTGTTTTTATATAGTGTAGAAGAATATAAAAAAGTTGAATATTGATCTGAATATTTTTTTATATTTTTCTGAAAATTACATTTAAATACAAAAATTTTGAAAAAAAACGCCCCGAGAAGTAAAAAGTTATAAATATTTGAAAAATAACGCCATTTATTTAAAAAATTCATAACTTCAGTCGGTTGGGTAAAATATTAAAAAAAAAAATTGAAAAATATTTTATATAGGGTAGAAAACTATAAAAAAGTTTCAGCCAAATTAAAAGGGGTTATTGTATTTAAATTAACCACTTAAAATTTTTTAAAAGCCTGTTTCTCCAAAAATTAACTAAATAACATTTTTTTAATTTTCTTTGTTTTTAAATGTAGTTTTCAAAAAAATATATAATAATATACTTTTTCCAATATTAGTCACTTTTTTATTTACCACAATGTTCTTTCTACATCCCCAAAGAAATAAGTGGAGTAATTTTTTATAATTGAAAACAAAAATACATAACGAAAAAACGCCATTGAAAATTTTAGAGAATTTGCAGAAAATGTCAGTTTCTAAAAAAAATTAAAAATGACAATCGATAAATTTTGATTTTTTTTCAAAAAAAAAACGTTGATTATCGGTTCGAATAATATTTTTTTATTTAATTTTTGAAAAAAAAAACGTTCCAATGAGTCAATTTTTGAATAGGTTATAAATTTGAAAAATAGATTCATTTATTTAAAAAACTTTAAATAACTTTTTCGGTTGGGTAAAATTAAAAAAAAACTAAAAAAATGTTTAAAAAATATAGGGCAGAAAAATATAAAAGAGTTTATATATACATACATACATACATATATTTATAGCTCTTGTGTATAAAATTGTTTAATAATAGTTATTTATGTCATTAGGTTAAGAAGTAAGGCTTTTTGTGCTAAGCTCAAAGTTTGAAGGCCGACGCGTAGCGGAGGCCTACAATTGAGCGAAGCACAAAAAGACACTTCTTGGCCGAATGGCATACAACATTTTATCTTCAAAGCACTTTATATAGGTCAATTTAATTCAACATGAAAGCGCCCTAACCTCACTTTTTTTAATCTCATTTATTTATTAGCTAAAGATTACATTAAATGTACAATAATTATTATTCCTTTTAGAAGCAGTAATAGTTTGACAATACCTAACTACATGATTTAAGTAGAAATGGATTTTTGTAAGAAAATGGTTTACTTACCCTCTTGCTATTACATTGAATTCAATTAATTGTTTAATAAATAGGTATCTAATTTCAATTTGTTTGCATTTTTATTAAAAAAATAGGTAGTTTGGAATGTTTACGCTGTGTTTAACATTTAATTTTACTGAAAACTTAAAGCAAATTAAAATTTAAAGATAATTTAAATCGTAGAAAAAGAAAACACAACTGTGAAACGTCAAATTGCAATGTCCTAACCTCACTTTTTGTTTTATTATTCAAATTTAATTTTACAATAATTTAATGAAAAATATTAAACATTATAATGTTATAACAGTAAAACAAACAAATTAGTGCTTATTATAAATAAATTAAACCAGTTTAGTACGTTAATTTCTTAGAAAAGGATTAATTTGTCAAAACAATACCCCTGGCGAGAAAAAATCGAACTAATTACTTGCCTCATAAAAATTTTTATCGGCCTAGGCCATAACAAGGTATTTCTTTATCGAATGTTGACAACAATAAAGTTTAAATTATAGACCGCGTGGAGATAAAATACATTTTTTGGTTAATTTAATAAAAAAGTCTTGAAAAAAACCATGGACACATTCCATCACAAATTAACCACTTTTTTGTTTCTCCAAAAATGAATCAAATATTTTTTTTCATTTTCTTTGTTTTTATATGTAGTTTTTAAATAAATAGGTATACAAAAAGAACTATCTTCTATTTTTTTATTAACCACTTTTTTATTTACCACAATTTTATTATTTTTTTTTCAATGAAAAACAAAAATACATAATGAAAAAACGCCACCGAAAATTTTAAAGAATTTGCAGAAAATGTCAGTTTCTAACAAAAAAAAATTAAAAATGACAATCGATAAATTTTTATTTTTTTACCAAAAATTAAAAAACAGTTTTTATATAATTTTTTTTATTTTTCTGAAAAGTTCATATAAAAACAAAAATTTAGAGAAAAAAAACATCCTGATAAGTAAATTTTTTAAGAAGTTATAAATATTTGAAAAAAACAAATAATTTTGAAAACGTTCCAATAAGTCAATTTTTGAAAAAGTTAATATTTGGAATATAAAGAGCCATTATTTTGAAAAATTCATAACTTTTTCGATTGGATAAAAAATTTTGAAAAATTGTTTTGATTGGAAAAAAAAAGTTTCAGCGAAATCTAAAAAAGTTATAAATATTTAAAAAATAGAGCCATTTTTTTTAAATTAATAGAAAAATATTAAAAAGTTTCATCGAAATTAAAAGAGGTTATTGTATTTATAGCTACATATTATATATTATATTGTATATAAAATTGTTTAATAAAATATTTTTTTGGTTAATTAAACAAAAAAAACAAAACGAATTCCATCACAAATCAACCAATTAAAGCATGTTGTTTTTCTAAAACTAAACCAAATACATTTTGTTTGTTTTTAATAGTAGTTTTCAAAAAATATATGATAATAATATTTTTATTGTGTAAAAATATGTGTACAATAAAGATTGGATACACTTTTTCACAATGGGATGGGGTTAGCATAACTATCTTACACATCTCCTGTATAAAAAGAAAAAAAATTAAACACCCAACAAAGAATCTACAACAATAGTTTTAATCAAATAATATAAATTAAAAACAATTCAAAACAACTAAATAAAATAAAAGAAAACAATTTAATAACTCAAAACACATTCAGTCTATCATCAATTATTTTAAAATTTAATGAATTTCTAAATTTGTTGACAGAAAAGTTAAGTATTGCCAAAATCGTTTAAATAATATGGTCCCAGAAAATTAAATTTGGTGGTTCTATGAAAAGGAATAGTAAATAAATCTAAACTTAAATTGATACTATGTACATCTAAAAAGTGCAAATAAATACATTGTTTTTTTTCTCATGAAATAACTTATGCAGAAATAAACAAATTAAGAATCTCATTATTTCGTGAAATTTAAATTCATTTAATTAATTAATAAATGGTGTGATGTCCAAAAAAATATGCATTCTTTTTACGTTTTTCCCCAGGCTCCAAACCTTCCGAGGACTTCACCTGGATGATCCCGATCTCGATCTCGACCTCGAAAAATCCGGGCAAAGAGGCGGTATCGTGCGTCCTGTCCGGCAGACAGGCCGACGTTCCGGTGCCGGAAGTGGGTCCGAACGACTGGATCAAAATAAATCCGGGCACCATCGGCTTCTACCGCACGCAGTACCCGCCCGAGATGCTGGAAAAACTCATCCCCGCCATCAGGAACAAGACGTTGCCGCCCTTGGATCGTTTGGGGCTGCTGGACGATCTTTTCGCCATGGTCAAGGCCGGCCACACCAGCACCGTGGAGGTGCTGAAGATGCTGAAGGCTTTCGAGGACGAAACCGATTACAACGTTTGGTCCTCCATCTCGAATATTCTGGGGAAACTGGGGCAGTTGATGAGTCATACCGAGTTTGAAGCCGATTATCACAAGGTAAGAGAATTTATTTCAATTTGTCGTAATTTTACCCCGTTAATGATGGAACTGTAATTATTTAAGAAACTTTAAGTAAAAATGGGAAACTTTGTTCAAATCATCATCATTTATTTGTTATGCTACTTTTCTGGTCAAAACTAATTTGTGACCTTAATAATTGACCCAGAGTCTTGTTTTGTTCATTTTATTGAGAAATTTGGTTAATTAAATAAAAAAAGTTGGACAAAACATGGACAAATTCCATCACAAATTAACCACTGTTGTTTCTCTAAAATTTTAATGTAGTTTTCAAAAAAATATATAAAAATAATTATTTAGATCTATCTTCTTTTTTTTGTAATTTTTCCAATATTAACCAATTTTTTGTCACAATTTTACTAATTTTTATTTAACTTTAATGTTGTGTTAATGTTGTTGAAAACAGAAATATATAACGAAAAAAAGCCACTAAAATTTTTAGAGAATTTGCAGAAAATGTCAGTTTCTAACAAAAAAAAGACAATCGATAAATTTTTATTTTTTTACCAAAAATTAAAAAAAAACCCGATTATCGGTCCGAACCTTTTTTAAAATTTTTTTCTAAAAAGTGCATTCAAAAAGTTCCAATAAGTAAATTTTTGAAAAAGTTATAAATATTTGAAAAATAAAGAGCCTTTTTTCGATTGGGTAAAAAATTTTGAAAAATGTTTTTGATAGGGATAATTGACCTAAAGTCTTGTTTTTTTATTTTATTCAGAAATACAATTCATTTTTTTTATTTGGACTCGTGTTTTTTTTTATTAAGTTGGTAGCTTATGCCAGTTTGATTTAGTATTTTTAGTATTTAAAAATGGTACTTCTGCTGAAGACCTTAATTAAATACTCTGACACTGTCAAATTGACAGTAATATTTATTATTGACTATTTTCCTCGTCTTAATTTCCACCAATCACAAACGCGCAATTTTGAATTACAAATGGTTTCTAGGTGAAAAAACTGTGTGACAGCACCTGTCAGCAGTTTTTTCGAGTTTACCCGCGGCAAAACTTGACAGCTGTTGTCACCAAAAATTGAAATTTATATTTTAATTGTTAACTGTTACTCATGAAATAGTCTTGTCAAATACCATTCGGGCATCTAATTTTTCCTATGAAAAACATCGAAAAAACACAATGCTAAGTAATATTTTTTAACAATATGCAGGTGCAAAAATCCTCCTCTTCGACTCGGATTTTTGTTACCACCAGCACTCATGCTTCTTGTTAAAATATTACTTAGCAACGTGTTTTTTCGATTTTTTTCGGAAAAAATTAGATGCCCTTATGATATTACTTACGATAATTTACTTGTTAAATATTATAAAATATTGATATAAAAAGATAACTATGCCAAAAATAATATCAGATTCTAAAGTGATAGAACTTTTAAGGGCATTTCGATGAAGTTATGCCAAATGCCTCAAGAAAAAGTACATCGCCTAATGGGCATTTTTGGGGTAAAAAAGTAACATTTTTGGTTTTACAAATATTAAAACACACATTATTTTCAGCTAGGCAGATAAAATTTTTTTGAAATTTTAAAAAATAAGGGGAAAATAATAAAACAAAAAATAAAAATTATTTGCTGTTGGGTTCAACCTTTTTGTGAAAAATCTAGTAGTTAATTTTCCTGTCTTTGAAAATAGCATCCATTTGGTTTGAAAAAGATAAGCAATAATCACGAAACATTTTCTTCTTTCAATTTGCAAGTTACTGTTCATTAATAGTCCTGGACAATATATACATTATAATTATTATTATGCCACTACAAGTATTACACCATTCACTTGTGTTAACATACAATTTTAATTTCTTTTATATAAATTCTTTTCAAAGCGAAGATTATTATCCGCTAGGAATACTTTGTCTCTCCTGGGCCGTAGTCACCTATATTTAACTACTTTTTTAAATGATTTTACTCATCTATGCTCCACCAAAGCCAAATTTATTGCATTTTTAACTACGAATTTTGACAACTCAACTTGACAACCGTTCAACCTACAATAATTTGTACATAACCACAATTACATTATAATTACATTTATAACTATAGTTTAGTTTGTTTTAATCAATGCAACCAATTTTGGTTCCGTATTTACCAACCAAACACCTAAATTTGCAACGTTGCCGCGTCCAGATAAAAAAAATGAACTTTAAATGCTCTAAAAAGTTTTAAAAGTTTTGAGCCCATAACATTTTTTTTTCGAAATTTTAAAACTCACAGAATAGTTAGGATTTTGAAATGAGTAGAGCATATTTTTGCACCGTGCGCAGGTTAGATCCTTGTGGTATTTTAATAATACTTTAAGTCGTAAAAATGTCTTAAAAGTACGATCCTGGACCCAGTTTGGAACCTTGCGGAACACCAATTTAGGAATTTAATAGTGTAACATTGTTATATGCAATTATAATAGAGAACAAATGAGAGCTATAAAAATAAATACTTGTCAATAAAAACCGTATTGAGATACATCATTAAAACAAAAATAATTGACTTGCGTAACGTGTATCGCTTACGGTTATAATTGTCGATAAATCATGTTTCCGATACGTTTCGCGAATCGATCGATTATTGAAAGTAATTAATGAATTTATGCGTTTAGCATAATCAACCGCAATTAACTTTCTAATTCGATATTGTCTTTGTTTGTTTGGCGAGCCGGCTTTGTATTGAAATTAATTGCAAACAGAACGGTAAATCACTTAAGTCCAGTGGCGTACTTTTTTTTTCTTAAAATAACAAAAAAAAATAATATGTAGCCTTTAATATAGGTGACTTTCACCTGTATTTTTGCCGGGGTAACTTGTGATTTGTACATCAGATGTCTCAAGATTTGAAAATTGTTTGACAAAAATTCTTGGTCAGTTTTTATTGTAATTTCTCGAAAATAATCGTTTCAATTTATACGCTAAAGAAGTATCGCTAGTAGCGCCACCACTCGGCTGTTATCATCGTAGCAAAAGAACAACTTTTAATAATCAGCTGTCAAACGCTTATGTTACAAACGAGAGTTTTTGAGAATAAAGCCGGAAAATGTTAAAAAATATCGAAAAAAACCGTGGCACGATTTGTTGTGTTGTTGGGTGTATTTCGAGAAATCCTGGGTTGAGTTTTTATCGGTTATCTAATATACACTGTTAATCCGAATAAAGAAATAAATATCATACAGTCCCTGTAAATATAAATTATATCTATTAGATACAATAAATATACATTTTAGTAATGATTAACGTGAAAAGTGTAAACATTTCAATTCAGTAATAATCGTCAAACAAATAAGTCGTCTAAATTTAAACAGCATTTAGCATTATTAAAAGCGTTGATTAAGAATTCCACTCAATGGTAAAATACCATTATATTATGTATTATGTCATGAATTGTCGGCGTTTTTTAGAGAACTCAAATATAATAAAAATGGTTGATTTTAAGGTTATGTTTGTGCAAAAATTATTTTTTAAGAATTTCTTAAAAATGTCCAAACTTAAATATAAATTATATTAGGTAAAGTTATCATTAGTTAATTCTGCACCAACAAATGTACTTACCGAATTGGATCCTTTTTCAAAACATGAAAATGCAACGATTTAGTTCTTGAATTTTATTTACAATTAAAAACACAATAAGTCACCATGATCCCTTAGATAAAATACACACACTAACGTTACTATATAAGCATTCAAGCGTTGAGTTTCTTAATCAATGATATAAAGAATAATCAATCGAAATCGAGTACTGAACCAGTTTTTTAGTTTTTTCCTTGCAACGTAAAACACAAATAACGTGCGCGATTTAGCTGTGCAATTGAACAAAATTTGTTGAGTAAGACTTCTGCCTTCCTCTCTTTTATGAAAAAACTACCTATTTATTTCACATTTTGTTATAAGTAAAAATTATGGACCTTCGTGAAAAATTCTTGAAAGAATTGTACCTACCGTGATAATAACATTTAATGTTGAAAAAAATGACAATTAAACAAAAACTGACCAAAACTTATTTTTATAGAAATTTTTTTGAAAAAAGTAAAATTGCAAATTAACCATAAACAATAAAAATTATGTGTCGGATATTCTGGGGGTTTTGAAATCAAGCAAAACTTTTTATCAAGAATGAGAAATGTAAACATATTTTTTTTTTCAAATACAGCTCATTCAAAATGAACGTTGGCTTTATAAGATACAATAAAATCTAAAAAATTGTCATCATCAATACTAAATTATTTAGAAATTTTTATACTTTTTCTATACAAGGTGTCGCTAAAATGCCTGTACAAAAACATATTTCTGAGTCCGAATTAATGCGATATAATAAATTTACTTTTATACAACAGTTTATAATAACCAAGATACAGGAAATCAAAGTTAAAAGTTTCTTTTCGATTTTATTAAATAACTTAGGAAACAAAAAAACGTTTTTGCACAAAATGTATATTTTTTAAATGTTTATTTTACAAATTATCAGAAAAAAGTAATATTTTTATTAAAAGCTACATTAATTTATTCAAGAAATTTAAATTTCCCGTCCTAAAAATATCAAATCATTTTGCATAGAGGTAAATTTAGTAATATCGCATTATTTTGATATCGTGAATATGTGGTATTATTTTGTACAGGTAAACCTTTTAGATATTTAAATTAAAAAAATCCAACAATTTTAAAAACAAATTAAAAACCTTAAACCGAATCCTTAGCAACGCCACTGACGCTCTCGCCTTAGATCGTTTCGCAATTTTTAACTCTCGATTTATTAACTGATTTACAAAAACGTGCAATCAGTTATTTCATGAATTTTAATGCGATTAATAAATATTCATGTGATTGTAACTAATTCATCGTGAATAATAAGGGGATAGTACACGAGATGAGTTATTGCATGTATAGCCCAGCAGGTGTGCCGCAAGATTCTAGGAACGAACTGATTGCGTTTGTTTTTCCTTTTTTCATTTCCTACATGACGAAATTTTCCTTTTATTAATTGAATCT